TCTGACCTTAGAAGTAAAGCAAAACCCCACGTGACTGGCAAAAGGGCTGCTTTAGAAGAAATAGGAAATAAAGTTGCAACAAGAGGAACACACATATCTAAGGTAAAAGAACACTTAAAATCTCTACACAGGGAGAAGTTGGATTGCTGCTCTGTACTAATAATAAATGTTTTCATGACAGAAAACAGAATGCCCCAAAGCATCTATAAAGCCTGTGAAAGGACCTAGCAAGATGACAAACGAAACTTTACTGCCCAAAGCTCCAGCTGCTGTAAATCAAGCAAACAAAGAAACTGATGTTCCAAAGGTAGGAAGTGATTATATTGTTCCAATTTTAAATTTGATTTGCAACTTTGAGCTCTACCTTTACAATAGCTTATCTGTGGCTGTATCTCATTCTTTCCCTGCTGAAAAAGCAAAGCCTCTGTATGGAGGTTTTTGTTTAATGCACGTTATATTTAAAGGCATATTATATTTATATTTAAAGTTCAGGTGGCAGAATGAGCTGTTCAAGTACTGGATTAAGTTTCTGCTTTAGCTGGCAATTACTAGAAGATCCTGGGATTTGTGTGTGTCAGTGCACTGCACTGGAGCCCAAGCTTGGTTTCAAATTCCAGCTAAAGAAATTGTATTAGTGGCTGGTGAAACATGGAAACAAAGAAACATTGAAACTTAAACAGTAAATCCATAAGATGTGTTAACAGATATGATCTATTCCTTAGGTTCTGTCTCCTGTCCCTATGGATGTATCAATGCAAGAGGAGGATTTGTGCCAAGCCTTCTCTGACGTGTTGCTCAACAACGTAGAAGACATTGATGCTGATGACTGGGAGAACCCCCAGCTGTGTAGTGACTACGTGAAAGACATCTACCTGTACCTGAGGGAGCTCGAGGTAGGATGCCCCATGGCTGCCCCAGTGTCTCAGGGGGTTACCTGGCTGCTCACCCTGCTCTCCCCACAGCTGCAGCAGTCGGTCCGCCCGCACTACCTGGACGGGAGGATGACCAACGGGCGCATGCGCGCGATTCTGGTGGACTGGCTCGTCCAGGTGCACTTGAGATTCCGCCTCCTGCAGGAGACACTCTACATGTGTGTGGCCATCATGGATCGCTTCTTACAGGTGAGATCTCCTTCAAGTCATGCTCAGTAATTATTCAGTTACCATGTTTGTAAAGGAGTTTGGGATTTTTAGAAATCTAACAATCTGCAAAATCTGCTCTGTAAGGGCTGTTACAGTGCAGCATCTTAACTCTGAGGCTGCTTCTTTGAGCCTGTCATTATACAGACACCTTTGACTAGAGTGAAAACTTTTTTACAGTCATTTTACACTGTCATGCTGATATTCTAAACTGATAAATACGAATCTGATTGTCTAGAGTTTGACACTTCAGGGCCTGCATTTTAAATGTCTGTGTTGCAGAGTCATCCAGTACCTCGCAAGAAGCTTCAGCTGGTGGGCGTAACAGCGCTGCTTGTAGCTTCAAAATATGAAGAGATATTGTCTCCTGATGTAGCAGACTTTGTTTACATTACCGACAATGCCTACACCAGTAGTGAAATTAGAGAAATGGAGATGATTATTCTTAAAGAATTAAACTTCGACCTGGGGCGACCTCTTCCAATTCACTTCTTAAGAAGAGCATCAAAAGCTGGGGAGGTGGGTACTTGTCCTCATTATCTAGCACTTTTGTGTGTTGGTAAAGCATCTCAGGATTGCTTCTGGCATTTTTATCTTTGATTCTAGTTCCGCCAGCTTAAATGCTGAAGAAATGCTCAGCTCTGAAACTCCACCGTGTGGAGTAAGATGACAATGTCAGCCAATAATTACATTTCTATTTACTGAGGCCTGTGTTCAGCCTTAGTTGAAGTAATCTTACTGTTAAGCTAAGAACCCTTGCTTTTAATCTTTTTAATCCTGGTGATCAGGATTATTAGTAAAACTAGCAGTATTGCAGTTCTTTGTAACTGCTGGTTGCAAATACTGTTATTGAAGAATCAAAAGATAAGCTTTCTCTTTGACCCAGTCTTTTTTTTTTCTCTACCTCAGTCGTTATAGTCAAGTGACTGTCCACTCTTGAGGTGGGCTTTAATTACCTCAGCAGACCACTGGGTAACTGAAATAAGGTTCTCCTTAAGTCACTTTATACCTCCCCTCCTAGTCTGCATTCCAGAAGGAGCATTCGTGTTCCTGGTTGGGCACAGCAGTACCTGATACTGCAGTTTTCTGTTGAAGTCCCTCACTTGACTTTGTGTCTAAATTCCAAATGGCTGCTGGTCCTGATTTTGAAAGGAATGTCTCTTAAAAAGGAACTAAAGTGTAGTAGTAAAGATTTTGCTATTTTTGTTCTTGAACACAATAAGCAATTCTGAGTGATTATGATAAAGTGAAGTCAAACTGTGGATTAACAAGCTCTCAACCGTCTAGGCCGATGCTAAGCAACACACTCTAGCAAAATACCTGATGGAGCTAACACTGATAGACTATGACATGGTTCACCACCGGCCTTCAGAGATCGCAGCTGCTGCATTGTGCCTGTCTCAGAAGATTCTGGGTCACAACAAATGGGTGAGTATTTTAATCAAACTTGTTGTTCGTCACACAGTGGAATAGAACCAATAAAAAAGTACTTAAAAATTGTTTTTAGGTTGGCAACAGTCTGGTGCTGGAATGATGGTTGGACAGCCTGATGCAATAGTGGCAGGTAGAAAAAGGAATGTACCAGTAAGAAACTCACATTCCTTTGCTGTTTGAATACTGGGGTACAAAAGGATTTTTCTCATGAAAGCATTGAGTTACTGAAAACTACACTGTAAGTAAAAGTGTATTTTCATAATCCTTGCAGTGCATGTAGCATAATGAAGTTGTAGACCATGAGTAGTGAGTTGTAATTCAGGTGGTAGTTGCTTTTTTATCCTCTATTCAGTCTAAAAGCATGATCCTTGAAATTGATGTGTTCAGACCTCTATATGTCAGGTTAGTCTGGATCTGTCATTTAAACTGACAGCTACAGTTTCCAGCACTTGAGGCTTAGCCATGAAGCTCAGGGTGTTTGCTGCCTGAAGTGATTGTGCCTTGAGCAGCAATTCCCCCTTCACAAATCTCAAGTTTGTTACTGTTCTGCTGCAGGGTACAAAGCAGCAGTACTACACTGGCTATGCAGAAGACAGTCTTGTGATGACCATGAAACATATGGCAAAGAATGTGGTCAAAGTAAATGAGAAGTTAACCAAATACACTGTAAGTATAACTACTTAAATCCTTCAATATTTTAAAAATACTTTTGCTGCACACTGTGGCTCCTTAGGTAAATACTCTGTATAAAGCATATGCTGCTCTGACAAAGCCTGTTGCATTAATGTTAACAGCAAAGCCTTTTAGACAAATTGTGCTCTTTATTACTTTGCAGACTGGTTCAGTGCCAGCCTTGTTGGTTTGCTTGTTTTCCAAGCAGGCAGGCAAACTGACCCAAACTTACCTGCCTAAGAACAAATAGTGTATGTGTGAAACTTTAGTATCTCTGTTCTCCACTCTGCAGGCTATCAAGAACAAGTATGCAAGCAGCAAACTACTGACCATCAGCACCATCCCTCAGCTCAACAGTGAGGTCATCAAGGATCTGGCTGCATCGCTCCTGTGAAGCCCTGGGCAGCCAGGACCTGATGGGGTGTGCACTTTGTCTGTCTACTGCTTTTGTACATAGCATTCCAGTCTCCCAAAGACAGTTCCGACTCATGTAGAAGGTGATATTTTAAATTTACTTTGTAACACAGCTTTCTATCTAAAAATAAAACTCCATTCTTTTACATATTGTGAGTGTGACTCTTTAAGGTACAACCTACACATTTGCAATCTGATGTCCAAGTGGGACATTTGACTAAATAGGTGATTATTACAACTAGCAGTTAAATGAGCTTGATTATTCTCTGTGGTTGCTTCCAGAGAGGATCTCCAAGCTTTATATATTGCATAATCTTTATTAACTTATTTTCACTCTTAACATAAAGAGGAGGCAGACAGTGCATATTTTTGTTGTACCTTAAAGAACACTAAATATGTACTTCATTTCATTTCAGTGCCTTTTTTCCAAGAAAGTATACTGGAATTCATTTCTTTTTTTGTAGTTAGGCACCTTCAAGTTGGGGGAAAGATGTAGGCTGTCTTGAACAGGTATTAACCTTGTACATCTTTGTATTTCTCTGTGTGCTTAAAAAAAGGGAGCTAAGGTAGAAAAATTGGACATCACCTGTAATGCTATCAGCTGTGCAGGGAATACAGGAGTGGAGCTGTGGGCATGAGACCGTTTGAAAGCAGCTCAGTTCTTGAAACTTTCTCCACTTCCTGAAAAGAGCCCCCTTGGGTTTTTCATTACCTGTTTGTTTGCCCACATTTCCCCCCCACCATCCTAGAGTTAAAGCCAGCACAAGGCAGTTCATCTTGTCACTTCCTTGACACTTTGCTTGTCTTTGTTTCTAATCTAAGTGTCAGTATCTGTATGCTCAGGGCACACACACATGTAAGTAATGCAACTTTTCTGCCTCACTATCTCATGTATGTCTCTTTGTTAAATTCATCTTGTATAAGTAATGTTAAATTAGACCTCCTCAAGCAGGAGATTTTTCTCTTCCCAGCAATAAGTAAGCCTAGAAGTTGCTGTAAATGGTCTTCTGAAAAATGTGCTTCATTCCTTGTGTGGATATTATTCCTCTGGAGTGAGATCCTCCTTTCTGGCTCCCAGAAACAGCTTCAATAGAAGATGGAGTTTATGTACCTAAGTTAGACAGGCAACAGTTTAGGAGGGAGGGATTCAAGATTTTTAGCTATATTTTAAAGCTTATGCAACTTTTTAATACCAGTATCTGCAGGGCTTTTTAACTGCTCTTAACACGAGAGAATGAAATGCACAGCACTTCACCTGGGCATAGGGAAAATAATTTGGGTTGGAGTCAAAAAAGGGTTTTTTTCTTTAGAAGTCAGTGTAGTAAAATCCCAAAGCCATTGTTGTGAAGAGATCTGTTTATTTGAGAACAAATGGCACAGAGAACAAACCTGTTTATCTTCCTGTATTTTATTTTATGGAGGTTCAAAAGGCAAAGCAGGAATTCTCAGAACTGCAGGGCAAGCAACAGCCACTCTGCTGGGGGAGGCAATCAGACTTGGGCAGTAACAGCTGTGCTTTTGCTATTTAAAAGGAGAAGGAGTAGTGCATATCTGTAAGTACCTGGCATAAAAATTCTAGCAGTACTACATCATAATAAGAACAGTGGATTCTACTGCATTATCCCTTTATACATGTTTCTATCATAACCAGTTTTTATATACAGTATATAACTATTTCTATACATGTACAGCTCTGCATAAAGACACTTCCTATAACAACAGGCAGAGTATTAAACATAAATCCAACATGGGCCAGCCATATTATAATATAAATCTTGAAGAAGGCAACATTGTTTAGCATACAGTACTATGTGGTTTTCTGTTTTAAATTCTTACAGTGCCTGTTGGAGTCCCTAAACACACCTGCAAACACAAACCAGTTCCATTACATCTCTGTACAGAATTACTTAAATAGACCATCACAGTAGTTTTTTAGATGGTAATATCCCAAATAAGCCTAAATCTTTTTGACATGTAGCAGCATACTTATTAACATGTTCCCCAGAATGATCTGCATTAGAGGAAATGTGCATTTAACATTATCTTCAGTAGATAATTAAAAAGGTTATGATATTCAGCTGAAGGCACTTACTAAACACACCCCTTCTGAAGTCCCTGGTTCCAGACTGTAAATCACCCGTTTCAGGAAGACGATAGGTTTGAGCATTCTTCACTTAACCAGGTGTTTTAAACCAGGTTTTAAATACAATAAATAATTGGACAGTTCATTACTGTATGGTGCTGAGACAAAGATCAAAGTCTGTGCTTTGGGTGATTTCTCACTCATACACAATTTACTGGTGAAAATACTGCTGAGAACGGCAGACCTTGGAAGAACAATGTCCTGAAGGCAAGGGAAAACATCTTCAACCACTGGTACCTTTAGGCCAATTTTTGCCTGACAGTCTTTTAAATCTTGGTGACATAATTGTTGGGAAACAGACCTTGTTTCCCTCGTAGTCTTCCTGTCCACCAGCCAGAAGGATCTGCAAAAAGGACAGCAAGGTAAGGGGTGAGGCTCTGGAAGCCTTTCTGTGTACTTGGTGCAGCCTTGCAAAGCTGTGCCACTCAGGGAGAGCCTTTTTGAGAAGAAATGAGGGGACAGACTTTTTTAAAAAGTGTTCATCTTTTGGCAACATCATTTTGCGTTGAGGAGGGTGCTTTGGAGACCCAGAGCTGGAACTGGTTAATTCTATTTTGCTGCTTGTGCTACAGCTACGGTTTAGGCTAATTTTCCTCTAGAGCCAGTGCCAGAATTACTGTCTAAGTGTACAGCTTACTGTACACTTACTTACTGTACACTGGCAGTACCCAGTGACAGGTCCTTGGTCTCTCTCTGGCATGCTCTTGACTGAAGAGGTTGGACTGGGGTGGATGGAGATTCCTCTGCCCCCTGAGCCATTATGGAAATTTGGAAGCCTAACAAGAGAAGAGGAAGTGGGGTGGCTCAGACAGCGTTGTCCTAACTCCTTGTGGCAATGGACCTCAAAGAATTGTACCCAATTTTGTACCTTCTTTGATGATGTCGATGACGTCGTTGGCGTTGAAGCTGAGCTCGTCCGTGTCCTGCGCGTCGTAGGCGTAGAGCGCCCGGCACTGCGGCACCTGCGGCTTGGGCTTGGGCTGCGGCTTGGGCCTTCCTCCGGCCGGCGGCGGGCGGCTCGTGCTCTGCCTGCGGACACTGCGGACAGCAAGGGCTCGTGGGCTTTGGGGCTTGGGACTCAACCTCAGCTTTAGCAAACCCCTCTTAATGAATTCATTTTAAAGAACATCATAGAACAAGGGAAAACACGTTTTCTTGAATGTCACAACCATTAAAAGTAGCAGTGTGAGACCTCTCTGTGAGAGACAGTTTCCATTTTTTTCCAATGGAAATGGATGAGTAGGTACTTCCCAACAGCAGTTCAAATGCTTAGAAGACATTTAGTGTCCAGGCTGAAATGGAAGCAAATGTGCCACATGCGGTTCATGCATATCTTGGTATCTGCACAGCTTAGGCTGTGTCTCTCCCCTTGCCCCAAAGTCACCAGTGATTTAGTTTTCAGTATCAAAAATAAAGTTCTAGCTCACAGGCTTGCTACTTTACCATTCTTGTGACTAAGCTGTAACAGAGACTCGTATCTCTTAAGTTGCCTCAGATTCCAGGGCCATCTATGGACTTGTTCTGTTATAGCCAACTCTGAAGCAGCAGGGGAGATGCTGCACAAACTGTCACAGCTGTGACCACTCCAAAGATTAGGAAGGGGAAAGAGGGAAGAAATGCATTTTGCCAGCTCATCAGCTAATAAAGGCTGGAAGAGAGAACAGGTATTAGACTCAGTATGTCAGTTTAATAATATATGTGCTGAATGACTAAAAATGTAATGTAATGATGTGGAGGAGAATGAACTGCGATCATGTCATGTAATGCCACAGTAACACAGCTTTTGCAGAACAGGGTTACAGTTACTTACATGAAATCCTAGGCTTAATTTTATCAATAAACTTCTGATTCTAATTTTGTAGTGAACTGCACCAGAAAATAAGATTTGTAGTATGGATTAGAACAGTGCTTCAGTTTTCAATGTATCTATGAGGGGAGAGATTTTTCTCCTGTTCCTCAGCATCTAATGCCTTTGCTCAGGATAGGAGACATGAAACCTAGACCTACATATGGAAATGAAGGAATTCAGCACAAGTCTTGGAAAATATCTCAGCTTTTGTGCAGCTACAGTAGAACTACAGAATCTTAAATGAGATGTTTTGCTGCTGGGGGTGAGCCTGCTGATTTTAATCTTGGTCTTGTACTAGACTGTTGGTACCACTACATCCTTCTTGGCAGCTTTACTAAAAAACCTAATTCTACTCCTTAAAAATTTTATATACCTATAGATGGCTATGGTCTTGAAATAATAAATTCACACCTCTTGAAGCTTACAGCTTCCTTTTGAAAAGGAACAGGCACAGAAATGTGTCTGAAATCCACTGCTGAATACAATTATCTTGTTTCTTTTCAGTGTATTAACAAAGGAGCTCATAATGCTCAGGAGGACAGCCTTGGGAATGTCACTTTTGTGAGAGTACTTCCTTAGCTTTGTTACTGCTGCAGAACACCTGGCATGTTTGGTTTTGGTTTTAGCCTATGGCTTATGTGTTTTTGTTGTTACATGAACTGTAGTCTCAAGACAAAGTAAGATCTAGTATTAGTAAAAGAGTTTAGGAAGAAGCTGACATATGACAACATTTCACCACCCAAACCATGGAAGTTATTACAAGATGGAAATGTGCCTGTTGACATGTGCTGATGGGTTTGAAAGTGGTAAATAAGTAGCAGTGGCCACTTCCTTCTGATTTCTTTCTTATTTCAAGATTAATCTTAAACAAAAAAAATGCTCTAAATATGCCTGAAATATCTTGTGTCTGACACTTGGGTTAAAATGACTGCCATTAGAACAATTGCAAAAACCTCTGTACATGCCTAACCCTGCTTGAGGGCTCCATGTTTAGGAACTAGAAAGCTCCTCAGGAACCTTGTGCACTTTCAGTTCTCAAAATCTATCAGTTGTACACATTTACATACTATTTGTAAAGTGTAACATTACACATTTACATACTATTTGTAAAGTGTAACATTCACTAATGTTGTGACTAATCCACTTAATAATCAAGCCTGTTGAAGCACACAGCAGCAGAAGTGCAGAACACCTGCTAAGGAGTTTGTCTGCTGACAGACAGCTGAGACAGGACTGCTTGTACAGAAATTTGCTCTTGATATGGTCAGTAAATTAAATTCTTCCTTTTTATCCCTAGAACTGCTGAATAAGCAGCAGTCTTTGACAATTAAGTGACACTCTTAGCTCCCACTACAGTCAAGCTCCACTAATGTTCTACTGAGTGGAGTAAGGGCTGAGTTGAAACAGAAACTGTTGGGTCACTGCAAACCCTTAAAATTTTTTTAAGGCCTTCAACATTCAAATTTAAGGTGTTAAACCAGAACTGCTTCACCTTTATTCCTACAGGTGGAGTATGTAGTGTTTTGGAATCTGGTGGAATGGATGATGATACCTTTGAGTACGGCTCAATAGTACAACCTGGTGATTAATGTACAGAGTTTATCAGTCATGAACAGTTTGAGTGTGTAAAACTATTTGCAAAAATGGACACCTTTTTATCAGATTCAATGTAAAATCTTACCCAGCTGCTCCTTGGTCAGGTACTTTCAGGAAATCCAAGCTTTGTGGTTGCTGTGAAATCTTGCCTGATCCTCCTGATGTTTGCCGTGGTAAAGCTGGTCGTGTCATACTTGTGTACAACAGGTTCTTCTGGTTGGCCCATTGATTTCCTGGCATCTGGGGATGGGCTGCAGATTGGGGGGGATTTATTACTCCATTTTGCTGCTGACCTAGAAATAAATAAAGTGTGAGTGCATGCAGTCCCAATGCCAGCTCAGTGAAGGTAAACCGTTGATGGCTTAGCTGTCACTCAGCTCTCAGAGAGCCCCACCTATCAAGGAATCCAAAACCACAATCATGTTGAAATGTTGATTTATACCCGATTTCTGGTCTGCTGGCAATCTGTTTTGGTTTCCCAACATCCCAGCACAGGTTGAAGGCATGTGCCCTGGGTATTTCAAGAAACCACAAGGATTAGTTCTCAGCTGAGTTTCAGTTTAACTAACATGGTTAGCTAACCAACTCCTCTCTAAAACACTGCACAACATTTTATCCAGATAAGGGTTAATCCAAAGCTAGCCAGAATTTCTTCTCTCTTTTGAAGTTCAAACTCAGTCTACCAAATACTCAAGGAATTTGACTGTTTTTATTAAGTTGCTATAAATACTTGTCTATTTTAACAAGTATGCAGGTGGGGGGTGTTCGGGCTATTTTATTGTTTTGTTTAAAAAAATGCCTTGATGCTATTTTGATAGTTGAAAAGGAGTTTGAATTGTCTAGGACTGACATAGGCATATGCCTTTAAGTAAATAATTATGCCTCTAACTTGAATTTAAAGCAAACCCACTCATGTCTGAGCTACTTGCAATATCAGGGCCTAAAGAGCTCGTCTGCATACTTTACATTCCTAAAACCCCTATGGAACAAAACAGGATTTTTTTGTTTTCTATTGGATTCTATTAAAAATCAGTTTCCTCAGTTATATGGGTGACCCTCTCCTCTGCTATTGTGATTACCTCTGCTAAACATGAGCTGAAAGAACAGCTGTGCAGAGAGAATTCATAATCACAGCATCTGGGAAAACCCTGCTGCCTGTGACATCTGGTCTTTGCTTCCCATGTTCTCTGGGTACTGTGGCAGAACTTAAGGGTCATAGATTCCTGTGTAAACCCCACTTTGCAATCCAAGCCAGCATGGCACATACATTATGGTGATATAAAAAAAGGTTTGGGTACAGAACATGCTGTTCAGCTACTGCATCACTGATTTCAAAACAAGACGGGAAAATAGCAGAGATAATTGGGACTTTCAAGGAGGAATTTGCACAAATTGTAATATGGATTCAAACTCCTTGAAAGTCGACATTTTAACTGGAACTCTTTTGTAACACCTGTCTGCAATTTTGTTTGTCCAGCTATGTGTGGCTACTTTCCAAGAGTTCAACATTCAAAAAACAACCAAATAAACAAAAAGCATTGTAACTTTAATGTATGGAGAGGTTTGTAGGAAAGCCTACTCACCTTTTAAATGGGATAGCCCAATGCCCAGGGGTCAACACAGCACTTAACTTCAGTAACACCACTTCTAGATATAGAACTGCTGAAACAGCTTTTGAAAATATAAACCAGATTGTCCTTGCTTTAATTGATGCTGTACAATCTCTGTTTGCTGACAGGTCAGCTCTTACAGTAATTTCCCACTTCACTACCAGTTCTGGCAGATCACACAATCTAGTTTGACTGATAGAGATGTGAGGATTTGGAATGGTCTGTTTCATTTGGTGACTGAGACTGGTCACGCCTAACTTCCACCATTAGCATTGTGCTTCTCAGTAAACAGCAGCAGACTGAAAGAGGACTCTTCGTTAAAAAGAAAGTACTCTGGGAGTGTAAGTAAAAAAAAAATCTCTTGGGAAACACTGAGTCAATAGAATATTGTTCTCCTCTGTGAGTTCACAGGCAAAATTAATCATATCTGCCCAGGGCAGAAGTGGACCACCCTCATGACATCAGTCCCCTGCAGAAAGAGCCGTGCTGATCTCTGGCACAGCTGCTGTGTCCCAGCACCAGGGCTCACAGGAGTTGTAACGGGTCTGCCAGGGCAGGACAATGAGACACAGGTTGCATTCTGCGCTGTGCTGGCTCTGAAAGCAGTTTCACTGCGAAGCTTTGTCTATGGCTTGATAAGCACAGAGCTTGTACCCTTCACAGTGGAGATGGCTACAGGGTCAGGTTTAGATTCAGTGTCTGAACAAGTCACAATCACATCAAGCAGGACAGCTCCGGGGGAATATCCAGCAAGACACTTCATAAAATGCCTACCAACAGATGCTTTCCAGGCAGGATCTTTCAAAGAGAAATTCAAACTGTTACCAGAATTTTTTTTAATGGGTAAAACTTGCCAGATGACAAGAGAAAACCAGAAGCCTTCATTTGGAATTCAGTTTTGCCCAAGCTAAGAGGACTTACCTGGAGGAGGTGGTGCAGCTCTCATAGGATAAGTCTGATTTTGAGACCTACTGGAATATCCTCTGCCTTGGGTAAGGTTCCGTCGAGTAGGACCTAGAAGAAACCAGCAACATTCTGTTTCCCCTTCACAATTACATTTATTAGCTGGCTGCCAGACCCCCTGTTCTGTGATGAGAAAGAGCTGATCTTCAGGAAAAAGGAATGTGACTCCTGCAGGGTTGCCCAGGCTGTTATAAAGCATTTGGTGCAAAAAGGATGACTTTTGTAATCCAGTTCAGCTGCAAGATACAAAGCAAACCCTTCTTGAAACTACAGGAAGCAAGGCCCAGAACACTGATAGCTGCAGAGCAGCAAGGGACTCTGCTGTATCCTTAGGACCTTTGTGTGTTACAGAGAAATTAACAAAGGACATGGTAAGGCCAGAGCCAAGCATGAATAGAAAAAGTCAACCAGTCTCTGATTTTATAAACCCCTAAATTCTAGAGGAAATTTTTACTTACGGGAATTCTTTGATAGCCCTGGTCCAATGCTGATTTGCAGCACTTTATTACTTGGTTTGAGAATAGCTACATCTCCTTGGCCTTGCATAAACTGCACTTGTCGAGAACCAGCACTACTCCAGGGCCCCCAGCTCTCCTTCTTCAGCTTCACTTCAAGTCTGACAGAAGTGTGTGAACACAAGAATGAAAAAAACCAGAATTGCTACATTAAATCAAGGCAGTATTGCTTGGCAGCAGGTAACTTAGAAATATAAAATTAAAAGCTTAGACTGAGAATCTGCATTCCATGAGTGACTCAGCTGATATAACCACCTAATTAAACCCTTTTTCCATGCTTTTTTAAAAAAATGTTCTTCTTAACTGACATTTTAACTTTCCTGGTACAGCTTCTCAAAGAACTGGAGAGGACAGTGAGCTTTGAATAAAAAAGTGCAAAGATCCAAGTAGGAGATGTGTCAGCCCTGAGCCACTGTCTCTGCTAGCGCTGCTGGAGTGCTTTGGTTTGTGGACACTCCCTGCACACAGAGCCAGAGGTACACACACACTGGTCCGTCTGTGGGTGGCTCTGCACTGCCCTGGGTGCTCTGGGGCTGTGCTGTGCAGCAAGGGAACACTTCTGCATACACACACACACACCTCAGCCTCTTTGTTTTACATTCTTTCCCACACAGGCACACACACACATTCTTTCCCAGCATTTCCACACTATCCATCTGCTCTGAACTGAACTCAGGGTTTTAGGCAAGACCCCAGAAGTGCAATACATGATGTTTACTCCTGGTACTGGCTTTGCATTCCCAGTGTACAGGAGTGTTTGCTATAGTAATGTTCCTCACTTCAATTCTCCTTCTACACCCTTTCCAAACAAAAATAGTGATCTCCTGTTGCTTTTCATAATTCCTCCACCTTTTTGAAGGCAATAAAATAAACATACAAATCCAAGGCCTGCTGTTGCTGATCACCTTAGTGGGTGGAAGTATTAACAAAAGCACGTTTATTAGGATTGTTTCCAGGATGTCCTCACAGCCAAACTGCATCAGACAAGCTCTAAGTTTTCACACTTGTTTCTAAAAAATGTTCCCAATATCATTTGCTTAAGTGAAGCCTCCTTAGAATTATTTTTCACCCTGCAGTCTCCAGCAGCAGCTGTGCAGAGGCCCTGTCCTGGTGCACGGTCAGGAGAACAAAGGGAGCTCTCCATGCACACACACAGCAGGAAGTGTCCATGGTAAATGCTAACCTGTTACTCTGACAAGGCAAGCACAAAGTCTGGTCTCCTTGCACATACAGGGTTTTACACTATGCTACTTCCTATTATTGTAAACAATGTACAACTTGCACTCACTTATTTGCCTTGGAAGCAAGAACAAAACATCCCTAAAAGCCCATTGAAAAAAGCTATAACTCACGTATTGCTAAATTTCAGAGGTAGTTTTCTTTGTGTTTTCTCTTCGTATCTTTTAGACAGGAGGCTTAAAAACTCTGTTTTGAAGACTGATTCGAGCAAACTATCGTATTCCTGTTCATGTAGAATGAAAATATCATCCTGCATGGTGCTGCAAGGAAATCAGAGCATACACCATCCAGTTCAAAATGTCGTCAGCAAATACAGCCAGCATTATAATGACATTTGCAGAGTACCCATGGTTAATTTTTAAAAACACAACAAAGTCCAAGCATCATTAATTACACAGCCTTGCTTCAGAGGTTTGGTTTTTTTCAGGGTAATAGAATAGCTGAAACCCTTTTGAGAGACAGGAATACTATTTAGTCATTTTACAGTAATTGCTGTTAGCAAAAAACCATGTGCTATTAAAGTCACAATTATAATCTTTCTCTTCAGTAATGGCAGATTTTGTGACAAGAGATAAATTGGAAATTCAAAGGTTACTGAAGCAAGTCTGAAACCCAAAGCAAGCAAATTCAAAAAGAGAGCTTTCAATTCCCACTTCATCAATCAACTTATTTTCCCTGTCCTACACAAATGACTCTGTCAATGGCAAAAATACATTCCAAGTACTAACCTTAAAGAAACAGAAAGAATTCTCTCCACTTCCATCCTCCGCTTCAAGACTTCCTTCACCTGGCCCTTCTCTGGGCCCTGCTTTATCTTTTCACGCCCGATCAGGTAAATGCACTTGGGAGTGAGGACGAGATCTCGCTTCACGCTCTGAAACACAACATTGAAAATACACAGCCGTGTCCTGCGTGCTGTGACCCTGAGCTGGGCACTTCCTGGGACAGGATGGTGAAGACAACTCTGACTCGCAGCAAAACTCGTCTTTAGGGGATGCTGCTGTTCCACCCACCTTAAACCGTCTGTCATATTTAGTTACAGTGTCTGCAAAATCGATCTTCTCCCGCTTGCCCACAAACTGGCGCAGCTCGGGGTGTTCCTCCATGCCTATGTAATCTCCCACAAAATTCCTGTTAATGCTGTTCCGTCTTCTCTCTTTCTTGTTCAGCAACAGGTCTGATGCTTAAATACAAGATATAAACATCAATTAATAGCATCTACTAGATTTCCTAAAGTCATGCTCTCAAAGAGCCAACTGTTTCACACAATTTTTTGGGAAGTGATAACCAAATTGTTTCTAATATGGAAAAGCAGTGAAGTACTCCTACTAATCCTTTAGATAAGGATATAGATGATCCCTAAATCCATTCCTAATGAAATACACTTATGGCAAGTACAGTAGCTCTGGTTAATTGGGAGAACTTTTGGAACTAAGAAATTTCTCACTCACTGCTAGGAAGTAAAGATTAACCCTTCCAAACCCAGCATGTTAATTCACACAGCCCAGGTCACACACAACTAAGTCCCAGGAGAGTCCATGGAGTGATCTTATCACCTACGGATTATTCAGATCCAGTGTAACTGTGGGAAGTTTTCTGCCTCCCCTACAGTAGCATCTCTGATCTCTGTCCTACTCAGTCTGGCTTTGATATGAGAGCAAAACAGTGGGCAGCCCAAGTGATCTGTGCAAGCAGAGCAGTCAACCTCATCAGTGGTATCTTAGAGGTCCAACAAAGGGCAATCATTATGAGACAGTTACCTGCAATGCAACTTCTGCCTACAGAGAGGGAGAGATTTCCTTCCCCTTTGTGCCCACCGTTCCTGGAACCATGTGTGTGTGAAGTCCCTGCCATCAGAAGTTCTGACCTACCTTCTTCTCTCATCTGCACGTATTTTTTCCTGGCTGCGTATTTCCTCCAGGCCTTCTGGATGGCCCTGGCATACCCATCATACTTCCTCTCTCTCATCTCTTCTAACAGAAACAGCTGCAGAAAGAGACAGTGGGGTGGGTCAAACATTTTACATGCAAAGTTCAAGAAAAAGCTCTATTTTATTTTCGACAACTCTCCAGTGCATTTCACTCTAGACTGAAGCTGGTGCCTCCTCCACAACTGTGGGATCTGAGATTGGAATGTTAAGGTGGCCTTTCAGGAAGAAATCTCTGATGCTAGAGTGGCTGTGGCTGTTACCAGTCTACTCATTAACTTCCAGACCCCATGATGAAGGAAGAGAAATATGGATTGTCCCTGAAATATTCTATTGGTGCAATGCAAGATTCTCCACTGGCCATTTCTTCAGCTTCCATCCACACATTCTCCAAAATTCCTACTTCTCTTGTCAGAATGCTGCCATGTCCATGAATATCTGTGCAATGTGTAACATAACTGTTCACAAACAACTTTCTTCCCTGGATGAATTTCATGCCCTCATGTACACTGGCTACATTCTCTCTCACCACTGAAGGTTGTCAGCTGGCTGCAGGACTTGTAAGTATGACCTTATAATTCACAAGTATGACATAGTAATAGAATATATTATATAAAATTCACATGACATAGTAAGATTTTTGGGTCTAGAATGTTGGAAATCAAGCAAAAATACTGTTTTATTAAAACAGGAATGGAAGGTGCACCCCCTTTTTCTGAGAATTTCCCAGGTCCTATTAAAACACGTGTAAATTCAATGCATTAGAACAACTTCATAATTATTGTAGGATACAGCATATTCACTATAGCCTTTTACAGACTTCAGTTGAAAATGGTTTTTGTCTTACCAGGAGCACAAGCATTTGGCTAAATTAGAGCATTCAATCAGTCCACTGACGTGACTGCTGCTTATTATTTCCCCACATTGCATTTTAAATATTCACAGGAGTTTTCTTCTAGCTTTCAAGAGATAAAACTAGTAAAAATGGGTACATGGAGAAGCAAAGCTAGGCTTTAGGATTTTATTTTTTTTTTCACTTTACTGCTCTAAACCATGCAAATCTAGAAAAACACTGTTGTTCATATTGATCTGAGAAAGGAAACTTGATCTGGTGCAAACCATTTCCTCAGAATCTCACTTGCTCCTGTACAGAGTTATTTATTCAGGTGTGTGATGGAAATGTAAATAATGAAGCCTTTCTGCCACCCATAAAACCTTATTTCACAGTTGGCAATTCTCCATCTGCAGCAAACTTATTTTTAAAAAAATTAAAATCTCTTCCTGAACACAAGCACTGGCTGGGGTTTCAGCACAGGCACAAGAGCTCCTGGTGCAAAAACATCCTCAGCTGCAGCAGGGCCACGACCAAGCCTTTGTGCAATTCAGGTTACAGTGACAATATTGATGCTGTCTCTCATGAACACTCATTGTTTATTTCTCTAACAATAATGCTAATTGCAAAACCTCAGTGCAAAATAAACTTTCATCTTCAGCTGAAGGTCACCATTAAGGAAGTTTGACTAAATCGCTGAGCTAAAATTCTTAACCTATAGAAATAAAGCTACTACATAAGCCCTTTCCTAAAATATGCATTATAAAGCCTCCCCTTGCATTCTCAAGCAAATCAAGTATTTTTCATCTTTAACCACAACAGGTGCTCTTTTTGGTGGAAGAAAAAAAATTTCATTTGCCGTATAAAAGATTATTTTTCTCAGAGGCAATACAATCCTAGCCAATACTTTAGTAATATAAGATGAAAGATGATTGTCTTTCTTAATAAAAGATAAATTACTCTTTAAAATATTCAGTTCATATAAACATTTTCAACATAAAATAAAAAAAGCCCAGACTCATTTTGGTACTTATTTAAAAGAGATTTCAGGGCATTAAAAAAAAAAAAAAAGAAAACACATACAGTAAATAAAAGTATTAATTTAAATTCAAATCAAAACACAACCCCAAGAACTTTCCAGTCAATTTCATGCTGTTCTAACCTGCAGAACTGCCCTTCAGTAAAATTCACAGGTACACCATTAAATGACACATCCATGCAAACAGGACTCAGCACCACAAAAATGCATCAGGATGGAAAGATGGGCAACAATGCCATCCTCTCAAAAGAGCCAGTAGCACATCATGTTGGGGTACAGATCATTAACTGCATCCATCAATCCCATGGCAGCACTTGCCACTTGGCTTCTGAACAGAAGACAGACACCAGGAAATCACACCAACTTCGTAAGACAAAACTCCCAATAATCTCCAGAAAGAAATCACAGCTGTGCTCCAGAGGAAGCAGGTAAAGCTCACACTCCCTCAGAACTGGCTGGCTGTTGTTGCTTTGACCAAGTAGGATCAATCCCATAATAGTTTTCTGCTCTGCCAACATGCCACCTGAAGTACTGTAATAAGCAACATCTCAAGCACTATATGCTGTGCTGTGTAAGTATGTTTCTCAGATGTAGACAGGAATGTAAATCCCATTATTCCTAAACAGTATCTTACCCTTTTTATGGTAGATACAACAAAATTTCTATTATGACTTGGAGAAGCATTCTTTTATTGCCTTTAACAAATATCTTCCCACGTGACTGGACACAGCAGCGTCATTGCCTGCATTACTGTTGTTCTACAGAGAAAAATATATGTTCCTGGAACAGCAAATGATAGCCACAGAAGTGTTCAGCTTTCATTTTAGCATCTAACTTCAGACAAAGCACCAAGAAATCAATGCTCAGCTGCAAGTTGTGCTACACAAACTAAGCCCCATTGCTTCTGATGCATCAGGAATATGTGAGGATGAGTAGAGCACAGATTTTCCTTAACAACTTCTCTGAATAGCAAAGAAAATTTTCTTCCCAACAGATTTCGCACAATTTAGTAGCAACAGGATAAAACCAGCCTTGTGATGCCTCCCTAATATTCTCTTCAGGATTTCAAGTTGCAGTCATTCTGGAACACTGTTTTACTCCATGCTGTGTAACATATCCTCACCATCCCTAGGGACTATTCTACCTTCATCAGTAGTTGTTGTTACAAGAAGAGGACCAACGTTCAAGCATCTTCATAACCCATTTTTCTTCTTCTCAATGCATTTAATTCTCTTTATATTAAATACCAAAACCCTGCAGTGGCCTTACACAGTGTGTCCTTTACACAGCCCCTATGACAGATGCACTCAGATGCATTTGTCTTAGATTTTTACACTTCCCCCACCTCAGCAGGTATCATGCTCAGCTTGAGCAGGCAGGACTTTAATTTCAGCAAACAGTTGAGCATTTAAAGAATTGTGTTCTGGCACACTTACAGACTCTGGAGCTTTGATGAAGACTTTGGACTTCCCCAGCTGGTACTGGTCAGGATCCATGTTGACTGACTGAAGCAGGTGGAGGACTCCTTGTTTCTCTTCTCCTTTCCACAAGGGCCAGGTTGCTTTGGTCAGAATGGCATACCTTAACCACCAAGCAGAAAAGGTTAAACCCTGGGGTCAAACAGCAGCAGCAGCACACCACCACTGACTCTTGGCCAGAATTGCCCTAGGGGAGGTTGACAATGGCAGCAGGGCTTGGTGTGTGTGAAGATGCACAGTATTAAGATGTTTCTTGTTTAGTGAGACCAAACAACTGAGAAGGACAACAGTGCTCTGGAGTCTCCCATTTCCAGATGTGAAGTTGCTGTCTGGTAATTGTAGCAGCTCATTGCAGGAAGTTCTGAGTACCTACATCCTTGGCACTCTAAACTGATTCCCAAGCACACATCCAATTTCTCACTCAAGCCTTCTCTCTCTGCCTTATTCTTACAAAGGTCTTTTCTGCTTCTGAGCAAGTGACCAGCTTGTCCTTCTAACCCACCTGCTCAACAGCTGGGCTGCATTTAGCAAGGCGCCATTCCTGCCCCTATCCCAGGAAGCCTCTGGCTTGGCCTCTGGTAGAAGAAGAAAGCATCAGTAATGTTGGTGCTGCCTTGAGGGCACACAAGGGACTGACTCCACAAAGGGCCCAGAAGGAGCAGGGAAGTGCTCTAACTTGTCTTTGACAGAAAGAAGCATATAGCCTTCTCTCTCATGGTGTCCTCTGTAAACCCCTGAGAATGAAGTAGATGCAGGTTGCAGCCCCTTTTAAACTGCCCACTTTTCCAGGCTTCACTTGGGCTTTTGGAACTGCCAGGCTGGAGTTGCAAAGCTGCCTTGTTCCACTGCCCACTCAAGGAGCACTGCTGGGCTTTAGCTGCCCCAGTGTATCTGTGGGTAAGTAACTTCTCTAGCAACAGCTGTTTAGGCTCCTTTGACAACAAGACTGGAGAACACCTAAATATGTCGAGATTAATTTCTCCCCAAAATCTTGTATTCTTTACTTTTGACAATTTCCTTTTTATGGCTTAGGAATGCTTAAGTTTAGTTTAGCAAACTAATTCATGCTTATTAGTAAAACTATTCAACACATGGAAAAAGTGATCAAATATGGATCAATTTGTTGTAATTCCCTAGACTGTGATTCAAGATCTTTTAATACACATTTTAATATACATAGAGCTCTTGGGTACAAAGTTAGAATAGATTTGAAATTCTCCTTTTTCATCAAATAATTTCACACATTTTACTGGTGGTCTACAGGGCAGAACAAACAGATCATTCAATAACATGCACTATTTAAGCATGTCACAGTTTGATAGTGTGACAACTCTCACTGTTCACTGCTGCTCAGCAATGACACTTCAGTGTCCTCGTGCATGCTTCCCATGAAAGCAGTCATGTCACTATCCATGAATCCAGGTTTGTTAAGCTTGTGTAAGTTGATCTTGCAGATGATTTCAGTATAAGCACTAAATGTGTCCTTAACATGCTTCTGAAAGAAATTCAAATCATGGCTGCCCCCCAGATAGGTAAACTCCCAGTAAGCAGTTAGGTCTGCTGGCTGAACAGGGAGTGGGAGCTCAGCTTTCAGATTGGTTATGCTTGGGAACACACAGGCCTTTTCAGTGACTGTGGCTTTTTACATGCAAATGTAAATTTTGTACATAAAAGTTTATTCAGCTCAGCAATCTCCACTTGCATGGGGCTGCCAAGGATGAAAACAAGTGTGCAAGCGTGCATTTCCTGTCCATCCCATGCCTCAGCCCCCTTTTACTCACACTGACTCAGGGGGTCAGAACAGAGCTTGTTCTGGATGCTAGGAACTGTGAATGGAAAGGGTGCAGGAAGAGTCTTACTCATAACAAAATATTAAATTTAACAAAGCTGATTAATCTGAAACAAAAGGATGAATTCCACACGAGGAGTTTCAGTTGCCTGTGTATTCAGAAGTACCACGTAACTTTCCTTTGTCCAGCGCTCTCAGGGCTTTCCTGGGCCTCACAGTATTCAGGCTAGATTTAACTCACAGTATAAATCTGTTATTTGTCTCAGCAACAGTCCGTGTTAAAGTCTGTGTTAAGTAACACAGCCTATAGCATATTCATATTTATATGTCTGGGCTTGAAGGTCATGAAGAAAAAGGAATTTAAAATTGTTCCATAATGAAAATTAAGTCCATACTTTCAGATATTTTAGGTCTGACTGTTACTACATTATTTGAATATTCTTGGTATTATCATGAAGTATTACTAATGGCTTTGTTCTGTGCTGTCTGATTAACTATACTCCACTCTTGCAAAAACTGATTGGGTTTTTGTTTGATACTCTCAAATTCAGTGCAAAGACTTCCAACAAAAGCCGATTTATCACACAAAGCCTGTTTGGGCACTTCTTAGCTGTATGTCTCCAGTTTCTGAAAACCAGAAGCTGAATGTTGCATAAATCTTGCAACTGCTCTTATTTAAGAGGATTTCATTAGCTAGTGGAGGTAGTTAATCACGTTAACAGCTGGTTCTAAGACACCGAGAACAGGCTTGATCTTCCAGAGCTCTGACTTGCTTTCATTCATTCAGTGAGCAGCTGCAGAGGTTTGAGCTGTACCCATTCCCAGCTGTTGGAACAGCAGTGGAAGAACAAGCAGCCCTGTAAGCTGAGGTTACTCTTTACACTGCAATGGCTGAATGGCAGGCATGGATTTCTTTACCTGCCTTCTGTCTGCTGGGGAGAGCTGGAGCAGTAACATTTCAGGCAAGGACTTGCAGCTGGACACTCAGATTTCAGGCACTGCAGCAGCTCCTTGAACTCTCTGTAACTTTGAGGAACTCTCTCATAGCACTACAGATACTGAGGCATTGGGCAAGTTTACAGAAAAGATGAAGTACTTTCAATAACACAAAGCCAGGCTTTAAAGCACTTTGAAATCTCTGTGTAATCGAGATCACTGAGCATGGCACATGTGGAGAAATGGCTAAGAGAAATGAGAAGGTTTCAAAACTGGCAGCCTCTTGGTTCTCTTCTCATCATGTAAACAACCCTGCTGTTGTTTATAGCAATTCTTCTAAATGAGTGTTACCTACCTCTGTAGAAACTTCTTGAAAACCCGTCTGTAGGCATAGCCAGCTCTTCTGACTCGAATATTTTCTTTCAGACCCAAGTATTCTACTTGATGTTTTACCCTGGGGACAAAAACAATGCAAGGCTTAAAATCCATTTAATTTCAGCATACTTGTGGATTGAGGCATTCTTAAACATCTGAGTCATGTTTAACTGTTTTGATTGCTAAAATTCATGCACAGGTAAATGAATCTATTTTTGCACATTACCTTCCCTGCATACTGCCTGGTAGGAAAGATATTCCAGGCAGGTTGACTACAGCACTGTAATATGTAGCACGTTAACCTTAGCATTTTTTCCTGGTTTAGCTTCCCATCTCCAAAGTAGTTTGTGTATAAATTTCTTAGGTAATAATAAAATACATAAAAGGCCAAGTAACTACTACCTATACAATTACACAGCTGGTATCCAAGGAATTGGGAAATTGCTTTGTGTTCTCTTACTGAAGGTTTTTCCTATGCTTTACATAGGAACACAACACAGCAACATTTTTTTTCCTCGTTGTTATGGAGAAAAGACCAAATCTGATGGCTGGAAAAAGCCCCTGATGCCAAGCCTTCACTACACAAAGAATCACAAAGAAGAAAGCCACGTCAGCATACTGCTGAAAAGCTAGAATTCCTCCTAATTTTACCATGCTGCAAGGGAAGAATTCGAAGATAGGCACAAGACTGGCTGAAGCCAGTAATGGATGACTCATCCATGGCACATTTTAAATGACAAACAAAAGCTGAGGTGGTACCAGTCCCACAGAAAGTGTTAATGGCTGTAGAGGAACTCTGCTGCACATGGGAACTGTCATCATTATCTCAACACCATCAGAGCTGCCCCACCAAGCACTTCCAATTAGGCTCTAACCAGGGAACAAGTATGTGCCCATGAAATGCAAAGCAGAAAAACAGCAAAACAAGAAAGCTTTTGCACTTTTTCCTCCTTCTAGACCCGTGGTACATTTATGCTTTTATATTTCTTCTTACATATCCTGCTGGTCTACTACTTAATGTTTGGTGATTTGATTTCAAGAATGTCAGTTACTGATTTCCTTTGCATTTCCTTAATTTTCTCATCTAAGTCCTGTGCTGAAAGAAGGAATCTCAGTTTTTCACTCTGGTGCTATTCTTCTATAGGGCAAAGTGTAAAAGCTTCAGCTTTCACACTGAACTATAGCAGTCGTTAAGATTTCAGTCCTGCAAGTTTAACAAACAGTATATAAAAGAGCATCTGTTTACTTATAACTTTTTAAAAGTGAGCCTGTAAGAAGCCATTTAATTTTGTTTTGCTTACTACTTTCTCTGATTTTAAATATTTTTCAAATCCTGAAACACTCTTAGTTAATTCAGTGTTATTTCTCTAGCTATTTTGAGAAGTTAAATTTGAATATAAAATGTAGAGCCCATTGGGGTTTTTTTGTTGTGACATTTTTTTCAAATGACTCATAGTATGAAGGGAAAAATCTTTTGAAATCCCTTTCTACAAATGACAAAATCACTTCAGTTATTCCTTCTTTTTGAAGACCACTTTTGAGAGATATATTACTAAATGATGAGTGATATTGCTCATAGAACTTAAAATAAAGACTATTACACATTTTAATCTTGCTGTGTTCAAGGAATAAAGTATATTTTGTACCCACTCCAAGAATTCTGGTCCAGTACAAAGTTGGTGGACAAAAATACATTTTCCTGTTTATAGCTTTCCCTCCTGTTCACATCTGGAATAATGCACTGGAGCAACAGTACTACTCCCATTTTCTTACTGTCCTGCCAGTATCAGTGTCCAGCACCAGAGAATTTGAGACATTTTTCTGTTTTTTTCCTTTCCTTTCTGAGAAAAGACATACTGAAAATCTCCCTCCAGGCAGCAACCTCAAGCAGGTCAGGGTCTGGGAATTCAGCTAATGCAGCAGTTTTGAATACAAGTCCAAGTGGCTGTGCCAGGACCTGAACAAAAACACATTTCAAGAACACCCCAATTTCTGGACTAAGTAAGGTATTATACAAGGTTTAGATATTACACAAAGCCTATGCTTCAGTGCTAAATATTCTGGAGTTACTCAATGGCAGCAGAAAGGTGGAGTTCCATGGCTTCTGTGAGCAGGAAGTAAGACCAGCTTTGTGAAAGGGCTTTTTTCCATTTTCAGTTACATTTTTCATGGTCTAGTAACCTGCTACTAATAATCAAACTGCTACTCCCATTACACTGACTAAGGCAGCCTGTGTATGATGCAGCATTATGTGACCACACAAGAAAAATCAAACAAAAAAAATTTAAAAATCAACCTATCAGCAAAGTATCACATAAACTCAATTATGTTTTCAATTTCCCTCAAATCTTTTTCAAAATAAAACTGAGAAGCAATAATATTAAGCTGAACTTTGAACTGTCACATGCACATAAACTTCTTTTCCCTAGACCTGTCACTAAGTGCCCCAGTGAAGTCCTAGTACAGTAAACGGGCAAGCACAGATTGAAATGGGAGAACGTTTGGATCTTTTACCAGGGATGAAGGATTACCACTGTAAGCAGCACTTCCATTTCTCTCTGACCTTGACAGTATACAGTCCTTTGTATTTCACTTGGCAAATACAGCAGCTCCTGATAACACACCATCCTCATTATAGGAAAACAAGAAGAAATCTTGCCCATTTTTGCTCCTAAAGGGGTTTCCTGAAAGCTTTCCTTTTCTCTTGACTAGGACTGTATTTGTTTCACTGGTTTCCTAGCAACACCTTCCACAATAACAGGCCTGTTTCCCAATATGCAAATGATTGATTTTAAAAGCCCCTCAATTTTTAGCTATAGGTTTTGTAAATACTTTTCCCAGGATCACTTAGTTTACTCCTTTGGTCCCCAGTGTCAGTAGAAAATTAAGTGCTGCACAGTAGGATTTTCAGGGTAGAAAAGCTAAAGAGGGTCTACATTTACTGCCAAGCCCTCACTGAGACTCTGAAGTGCAGACCCAATAGCTTCTGTAAGCACTCTCCATCTGCATGTGACTGTGCTGGTCTGCTGGAAAGGCAGGAAGGGAATTCTGCTGGGGTTGTCCAAGAATGCTTTTTATCAGACTTTGCAAGCTGTTTCACCATGATAAAAATAACCAATTTGCTTTATCAGCAATTTTACCACCCTCAGAAGTACTTGGTATATAGTAATTAATGCTACCTACATTAGGCTCCCACATAGTTTAAAGATCCTCCTGAGCACCCACCCCAGTGCAAAAAGAGCAGCACCTTTTCCAGAGAAGAGGAAGATGCTATAAGCACCATGAAGTTAAAGATGCCTTAAAAGAGATGTGATAAAGCAAATGGATCATTTAGACATCTATTTAATGTCAACATAATCACCTGATACAACATTCCAATCAATTATTTTAAAAGAGTTGGTCAATTAGTTTAAAAATGTTGAATTAAATATAAGAAGTAAAAGAGGAACCTTCTCCATTGTTGGTTACAGACATTTTTGGCAGGTTTGATACATAAAAACAGGTACAGATATCCTATTGGCTTTTTAGCTTCTTAATAGGAGCTGTTTTCAAAGCATAAAGCCTAAGTTAGAAGTGGTAATAATACACTTGGTGTGCACATTCTTGAGTCTTTAATATACTGGTTGTGTTACTCATGCAAATGTTGGTTATTCATAACTGGCAGGAGAAAAGCCAAGAGCTGCATATGCTAAGTGCTGATTTAGACCAAGCTATCACCACTTCTCTTCAAAGTTTAGGAGAGGTCATGCCAGATTTTATTTCTGTTGGCTTAGAGAATGTCGTTATGTTTGTAGGTTGTACAATTACAAATTATGAATTTTGGTGGCTTCTTTTGACCATTAGCACTGCTTCTCCTCACACACTCTGCTTATCCATACCTGCTCTCCTCCCAGTCCCGAGACTTCTTTGTTTCATTGGGTTTGATGCAGCGGATGTAGTGGGGTGTACACTTCATCAGGGTGCCAACAAGGTCATTGGCTTGTTTCTGTAAAACCAAGGGAAACAACATGATCTGAGCTGAACAGGGTAAATCCTGAGGGAATTCTACAATTATCAACCATTTGCTGATGATTCCATTGGCTAGATACAGTTGCCTTTGGTATTTCTTCAACAACCAAAGTGTTTTGGGATAATATGCACCTCAAAATAAACTTATCAGTAAATAGAAGGCACCATTATCTCCAGCTATGTAATACATTTAAACTTGTATATAAAAATAATAAATTAAATATAAAAATAAAATTGACCTGTCAGGGTGAAACTTGAGAAAAGAGATTGGTAAAATATTGATTTGCAAAATCATGTGTAATCTATGTGTATTCTACAATCAGTCTCCAAACAGACCCTGACCTTGTAGCACTTGTTGCCTTAGGCAAGGCACTTTGTGGTCAGTAGTCTGCTGTTGACTGGGTGGGTGTTGGGTCAGGATTACTGCACTGTAAAGAGATCAATTATCTGCAGTTAACTGTAGGACTTGAGAGGCTGAGTGAGGTGGCTCATTCACTATGCAGATTCAAGTACCATCAACTGCTCGTTTTGAAAATCCACAGCTGTAGGATGCAGCTGAATACAACATTTAATGAACACCAACACGGGTGCGGGGCAATTCTAACAATACTGAAACAACACATCACTTCGGCATCAAGATACCCCTAATACCTATCTTTAAAAATATCTGGACAGGAAAAAATACTTTTTTGAATTTATTTAGCTGTTCATACATAAACACACAACCACATACACACACACTGCAAAAGGAGACATACTTTGATTTTGCTGCCTGCAGTGGTAGGACGGCCCTTCTTGTCCACTTGAAGATTTTCAGGAAATAGAGCCTTTATAAAAGGCCTAGGAGAGAATTTATAAAATAGGGTTGGCATAGAAAGACGATTCAATGCAGGCATGTCAAAGAATATGCTGTAAAAGTTGATAGTTGAACAGAATATAAATAGCTATTTCTATTAATCTTGAGTTATATCAAATCTATTTTAAGATTAGTACTTTCCATGAGCCTCATTCCACACAGAGCCCCCTTGCTATTTTAGTGAGCACTGAAAGCCATGACACCAGACAGCCAGAAGACTTGAAGAAATGCACATCTTACAAAATAAGCATCAATTAATTAAAATACATCACAAAGAAATGTTACTTTGTCTGTCAAAACAGTGCCTGTTCTGAGAGGAGTCCAGAGCACTGATGGCCTTGCTTGAGGCCAAAACAAAGGCTGCCATTACAGCATTTGATTCTGACACTGCAGTGCCTCCCTTGGTCCAATCGGTAGAAATGAAGGTCAGGGTAATGAAGTGATGCTGCTCTAGTGCAGCCCTGGGTTATTTGCTGTGTTACCCAGAGGAGGTCAGCAGGTGCAAAGCAGAGATGTCAGGCCCTCTGTGCCCCTCAGAACCACCACGGCATTCCCAGCTTGAAGCAAGTTTTGCTTACGTACAAATCACTGCTCTGCATGAGTTCAATCAAGTCCGTGAAAAGAACATCCCGATTTCTCTCGCAGAATCCATCCATATCATAAGATACCTGGGCCAAGGTGGAAATGGATTGTTTGTGGTAAGTTGAGAACCCAATAATTAAAGGATATTTCAATTCTGTCGTCATCAGTTGCTGTTCTGTACTTTTTGGTTAGTCTGGTAAAACTTAGATACTACAATAAGCACTAAATCCTGGCACGTATTATTAAACTTTTTCACAACAAAGGAGTTTCATTCTTAAATATAAATTCAGTTTGAAATCAAATTTTAAAAAACGTATGGAACTAGTGAATGGAACATGACTAGTGAACAAGTGAATTTAATACCGAATTTTACTAAGAAAAAAGGATTTACTCTTATTAACTGCAGAAAGCAATGAATACTGAGAAATAAAACCAAACAAGATAGAACATCCCCAGTTTTACTGGTGTATCGTCACTTAAACATCATTTTTATATCTGGATTCTTTAAATTTACTGCTGCTGTATTAAACAAATGAGATTACAATTAATAAAAGTCATGGGGCACTCATTTATTGCATTTAAGTTCTGGTTCTGAGAGCAGCAAGGCCCAGACTCCTCTCTCCAGCAAGGGCCATTTGTGAAGGCATTTCTGTCCTAAGCTCCCTGCACTGTGAAGCGACACTCTCCTAGAGAATCTGGCTGTGGAAAACCAAGCCAGCCCTCTGCAGGGCTTCCCCCTTCCTCTCAGGACTCTCTTCTTTCCTCAGAAATACATTACAGAGAATTCAGGGGTTATTTCCACATTACCTTTCCAGCATAATGATGGATGATAAAGCCCTGGTTCCAGCTGTTGAAGTGTTCATGAGTCCCAATCTGCATCTGGAGTTTCTGGAGCAGTGTCTGGTCAGCCCCTTCTCCCACCGCATGCATTGTGGCACACACGTCATCTAAAATGCTCATAATCCCTGGGGGATTCTAAAGTGTTGGGGAACAAGAACAACAGCTCAAGTGAAGGGGAGAAAAATTATGATGCCAGCTGTTTCCCCCAGACAGAAAATTGTCTTTGCTACAAGAACACTGGAGCCTAGTCAGGAAGGATTTCCCTGCAATCACCTAACTTTTACAGCAATATGCAAATAGTTTAAGGAGAGATGACACTTCATGGGATGACAGTGACAGTGGGAAATAATGGAGGAAACAGTGATTACTGTTGAAAAAACCCACATTAACAAAAACATCAAAACACTCAATATTTACTTAAAGTTTCTTTCCTCACTCCAAAAAGTAGCACAAGTCACTCCAGTCTTTCAACAACTGTTTTGGCCTACATGAGGATAAAGAACTATCTGAAAAACACCCTACTTCTGACCTAAAGGACAACTCAAAGTTTGTTGTCAGCCCAAAACAGGACATAAAGACTTGAGACTACAGAACAGCCTGTGGAGCAAAACCACAAAACTTCTTTTATCTACAATACTGACTCTTCACTTGTTTCTGCTTGATTTGCAACAGCACCTTGAAGGAAAGGTGGTGCTGTAGCTTCCCCAAACTGAACTCCCAGGGACACAAAGAGCATTATCTGATGTACAGTATGCCAGTAAGGTCACGATAAATTTCAGTGGATACATTTTTTTCCCCATTATTTTGTTTTTTAGGCACGTGTCAATCAAGCCATGGTATAGTTCTCTTTTTGGATGATATCTTACATGACATATCTCAGGACTCCTATAAGACATCTTATGTAAGATTTATATATAGACTTGGTATGACTCAGTAACTGAACAACAGTATTTGCATTTTCCTATGAACCTTCTTTACAGAAAAAAACAGTTGCCCAAATATTTAAGAGAAAAAAACATGTTTTCTCTACCTGTTTATTCTAACTACTTACCACTTTGTTCTCTATAAGGTCACACACTATTTTGTTGTTAAAGTATTCTATTGGTGTCCATCTAATTCCTTCCTGCACATATTCTTCCTGTTAAGTAAAAAGAAACAGATGCAAACATTCCTTTGCACTGTAGATGTAGCACTAGATTTACAACTCACTCCACAGACACAAACTCTGCACTACTCATGTTCAGAAGACTTGCCAAATGTATGACTGGGTGGAGGTGGGAGAAATGACCCTATTGATAGTTAAATCCAGCTCTCTGCTGCCTAAAAGATGAATCGGAATCCTACTCTGTTCTCCCCACACATTCCTTTGTCATTCACAGCCCTTCCTTGGTTACTGACAACAGCAGGAAGATTTCAACTGCTTTATTGTCAAAGCACTTTGCAAATAGTAACAAAATGACTTTTACAGTATCTTGACAGTGCACCTAAGTATCCACATCCTGATCTATTTTAAAAACTAAGATTGTGACAGGCACACTGAGGATCACATCCCCCAGACAACACATTTAGAAATGTACATGAAATGAAGACGCAGCTTTTTATTTCTGTATGCAATTACTGTAACCATAAAGACACCTAAAGAAAGACTGGGGAAAAAATCCATATTAAAATTCGGTTACATTGCACCAGTCTGTTGCACTTAGAAGGGCTCAGCAGACAGTCTGCAGGTCACTTGTGCACCCAGTGCCACCATGACCGCTTACCCTCCCACAAAAGCAATTGTGTCTGGGCATTCCTGAAAACTGTCCCAAAGCTGGTGCCAGCCCTGAGCTCATGCTGCACACAGGGCTCCTGTCTCAGCTGCATCCTGTCTTGCCTACCATGCTGAAACAAAGTAAGTGAGATTTGGCAGTAAGACTGTGAGCAGAGAACTGCAAATACTTTAACAATTATTTTTGTATTTCTCTGATCTATTTCATTCTTACATATACACACATACACATATGCATACATAAATATATATATTTAAAAAACAAAAAGGGTGTGGAGGAAATGAAGGAAAGTATCCCCAAAGAAATGTGTGTCATGCTGAAGGGAAGCCCAGGGATGGAGCCAGGCTGCAGCTTTCCATCCCTGCCCATGAGTCAGACTGCAGCACGCCTGGGCACGGTCATATGACTGCACCAGCACACCGTGGGGTGCACCAGCTTCTGCACCACTCCATCACAGAACAAATGCCTGCAGCTGATGTGCTTTATAGTTTTTAGGGTCAGCCAACAACAAAGGTTGTTTTCTCTCCCTTTGTCTTGCTTAACAAGATTTTACTGTTTACAGATGAGGAAACGTCAATTATTCCAGCAGTTGATAAAGGAATAGCTCATTTGTGAATCCTGAAGTAATTAATGTCCAGTTACCTGTTCTGCCTTCAGTGTCAGTTCAATAAAAATCTGCTGCAGTTTTTCATTTACAAAGTTGATGCAGAACTGTTCAAAACCATTTTTCTGTAGAAAAGGAAACAATGTAAAAATTAGTCTCCTGCCTTATATACAGGAATTTTTAGTTCTTATGCTGGCAATAAGCTTCAAAGAAATACCATCAGTGACAAATGAGTTGCTGACTTTATAGACATTTTGTGGAATCTCAGATCTTCCCTTTAAGATCAATGACTTCATTTCTTTGAAGTTTCTTCAATACCTCATGTTTATTAAGTGAGACATTACCAGTGAGATCACACATCCAGGAAGATGGGTTGGGATTATTTTGCTTTTATTCTGGCCATAGGATCCGTGATTTTTTTTTTCTGGTTTAAAATTCTTCCCCTCTAAATTACAAAAAAACTCTCCTAGGTCAGATCTGCTCAAACCCCAAGTATTCCATTGCCATACCTGAAATATTTCAAAGCCATAAATATCAAGGACACCGATGTTATATTCTTCATGGTCCTTCTCCATAGCCTTATTAATAGACTAAAAAACAGAAACAAAACATAAAATGAAGTATAGTTTATAAAATTAAAATCTATTCATATTCTTAAACATTTATATTAAAATTATTTTAAAATAATTTAATTGAATACAAATACAAAGAATATGTCATTTTGCTTTCACTTTTTAACGAAGTGTTGCTAACAGTTAGGAAATGAACAGTATGTTATCTTGTTTTCCAGGTCAGTGAGCCTTTGGATCTACTATCTATAAAAATCTTTCCTTTTCACTGTAATTGGCTCAGTTAAATAAAAGGAGCCAACAGAAAAAGAACAGCTTTAAGTCTGCTATTTGATGCATTTTACTGAGGGTACACTGATTCTCTCCACCTCACTCTGTGTCCCCCTCCTGTGCAGCGTCAGTGCTGGCACAAGCACAGTGGGGTGACAGGGCTGTTGTCAGGAGCGAGGCTCTGGGTCCCTGCAGTCCCCATGGATCAGATCCCTGCTGCACCAGGAGCACCCAGGGCTCCCAGCCTCCAGCCCAGGCTCTCACTCTGTACAAGAGAGTATTTTAGCATGGAGAATGGAATTTGGCCCCTGGCTCCATCGCCAAATCCGGCTGCTGAGGGGGCTCTTTGCAGGGAAGTGAGATCAGGGGAGCACAACCAACAATTAATTCTGCTCTGCTATGAAGGAGGAAGTCAGACTCAGAGCTGTAGAGATGCTGACAGGAGGGAGTTCAGGATCCCGCACGGGTTACGGGAGGAGCTGGCAAGCACAGCTCATGTCAGAGGCAGTGCCCTGAGTTTGGTATCCATGGCCACACTCCCACTGCCCTGGGCAGGCTTGGGCAAAGCAATGACAGTCAAGAAAAGGCCTGCAAGGAACATTCCCAGTGCCCTTGAATTTGTTTTGATACCTCAGTAAAATCAAGCAAAACCAACTTACATCCACCAAGTAATCAAAAACACGGGAATGAAGGGCCTTGGCCAGCGCATCCCTGGTGTAGCAGGCTTGTTCCACATTCAGTGTGACATTAATGGACTCAGATTTGCCTCCCCACTTGCTGTCCATCTGTCTGCTGGTCAGTTTTTCCTTCAGGCGGTCCTGGTTAATTCCCAGGAGAAAAGCAGGGAAAGCTAAAACTGCAAGAAAGATCAGGCTTGCTGGATTATGACTTACAGACTAAATACAGAACAAAGAAAAAAATTAACTGTATCTCAAATAACAATAAAACTCATGGAGCATCCAGCTTTAAAAGGAAATGAGGAGCATTTTCCCCTATCCTCTATTCCCCTCTGCTCTTCAAGGACATTTTCAACTCTTTAGTTACATGGATTTCAATTAAGATAAACCACCTTGAAGTAAAATAGCTATTTCTGTACCTTCAGTCCTTCAAACATGTAAGAACATAGTTTTGAACTGTGTGGTTCAAACAAATCACTCTTGGAGGAGATGTAAATAAAATGTAGAGCTCACACATGAAATAAAATTGACACCATTGAAAATTTTTTGTAAAAACATGAAATGTTTAAACTGTAATAAAAAGTAGGCTATCTGCTTTCTTCTTGTAAGTTAGGACATTGCAAAAAGTTTTCAATTACCTTGCCTTTAATTTTTTAATCCCTTTTTCTCTAAGTACTTTGCCAATTCTGTTTCCCCTTGTTTAAAAGCAAAGCACAAAAATACATCTGTGCTTTAAGCAGCCCAGACTCCGGGATTCTCTGCACTCTCAGCACATGGTGCTGATGTTAGTGCAGGTGTCACACACACCTTAGGGAGTGCAAAAACAGAAGTGACTTGAAAGCAATCAGAAACAGCTCCTGAGGAAAACTCCTGGAGTTGGTATTGTACCTCCACTAAACCACATGATCCTCTAACAGTGTTCCCTTCATATTCCATTGGTTTCAGATCTGCTTTACTGGTGCAAGGAAAATGTAAAATAATGACTAAGGCAGCAGTCACTTGTGCTTTATACATCTGTAATGTCACAGCATGACTTCAGTAAACCCTCTAGTACATTATTCCAAAAGTATTTTTAAAATTTGAAATAACCACCAGCTTTCTAAAATATGATTTATTACCATCAGCAAGCTGATTAAATTTACTCTGGAGTACCAGGAACCACACAAAGCCGAGTCACTGGAAACATCTCTGTTTCAGATTCAGAGAACACAGGCTGAAGAGCACATGAAAAGGTCAATCATCATATGCTTTAACTTGGAAAAGAATGTAGGCAACTACAGACCAGATATGCTCACATATACTGTTAAGATGCCAGGAAAAATGCTTAACCAATACTGCTGGTAAGAATTTATGAAGACTGTGTAATGGCAAGGAGCACCATGCAGAGCTCAGAAACTCTGCCTCCCCAGTGCTAATGATTTACTGTAAGGAAAGAGTAGCTGGCCAGCACTTGATACAACTTCACATTCTTAAGATGCCTGATTGTTTTCCCTAGTTAGGGACCATAAAGTTACAGTCTGGAAATTATTATAAAACAGGATATGCATGTAATTGAAAAAATGATCCTCAAAGAGTCATCAGTAGCATTTAGTGGAATAGTTTTAAATACACTCTGTGAAGGAAAGCTGAAAAGACTGGGCTCACTTCCTGGCCTTCCAGGAAGTGAAAAACAACCTTTTCAATGCAATACAAGTGTAAAGAAGGAGGGTTTAAATTCTTTTCTCCTTCCAAGAGAGAAGTACTACTATTTGCCATGATTTGCAGCATGGAAGATTTCCAGGAAATTAGAACTTTTAATCTATTAATATAATCAAATACTAAATATAAACATAATTAATATAATAAAAACAGTAATTTTAACTACTTAAAATATAATTAAAATATAATTAATTAAATATATTACTATTTTACTATATCATATTTTATAATTTCATATTTTAATATATTATATTAAACTACATTTCTAATTAAGTTTTATAATAAAATATAGTAATGAATATAATTAATATAATCAAAAACTAGAGCAGATAGCAATCACAAGCAATTTTAAAGATGTATTTGTCTAAAGGTCTGTCAAGAATGATGTGTACAGATTTGATTCTGACTCGGAGCAAGGGAATAGAGTTTATACATATGCAAAGAATGACTTTGCATATTTTTCTGCAATTTGCTGTAAACAAGAACACTATTGACCAAATTCTTAAATTTTTGATTATTTCAGGCTTACACAAAGCAGGACTGGCCAGTGGCTGTTCCTTGTGCTTTATCTTTCATGGCTATGCAGGCTATAAATGCTTATTTATAAATGCTATTGAGTTGGTTAGGATGAACAGTAAACTGGGGAGAGGACTAATGGAGAAAAGAAATGAGCACAACTGTGCTAGACATGGCTATTTCTTCTCTGGCTTCTTTAAAATCAGTATATTTATGTGTATGTTTGATATTCATTCTACTTTCTAATTTCTTCCCATGTACTATTCATACACAATTTATGTATTTGTATCCCAGGGAGCAGGAGAAACACGGTGGACATGGCTCATCACAGAAATACATTCACTTCCAATGATTTATTTTCAATTCATGTCTTTGCCATTTGTTATTTCGATGCAACCCACTCTGTATCCAACTTGTACAGCTTTTAAATGCCTTGATTTAGTTGAAAGATTTAACACTGTGATCTAATCGATGCATAGTAGCTCATTTGGAATCAAAAGGCATATAAATACAATGCCACAAAATGGTTTTTTTGGGTTCACTTAATTTCTTAATTTGAGAGACTAGGAAGGTTAAAAGTGATTAGTTATGAATCAAGTATCTAAAGCTAAACAAATGCAATTGTCCTAAACATAAGACCCATTCTGAACCAAGAATTAAGAGAACACACAGGTATGTGTAAGGTACTGTTATCTACTATCTATCTATTAACATTCCAGCACCTTGCTGCTGTGGACCCCACTGCTACAGAACAGAGCAAGTGCTGATGGATGCAAGGACAGGGCACTGTGGGAACAGGAACTGTAAAGAAATAGTCACTCAGTAGCTGCAGCTAAAGGAACTCACAGGAAACACAACTGCAGAATATGAAGTCTGCATTTCAGTTCAGCTCTGAAGCTGTTTACAAGGCACACACACCCACCTGTATGGATGCCTGGGCAGCAGCTGTGTCCTGAGCCAGGGACACCCACACCTGGGAGCTGCTTTCACAGGACAGGGAGGCCACACAAACCACATCATCAACAGGGGGGGTTTTAGGAATGTGTGCTCATGCACTTTTGAAAGAAGCAGAGTTCAAGCCCTTCTAACAGCGTCTATTATTTCATACTCAAAGATTGGAACAGGATTTCTCAAATTCAAAATCACACTGCTGTTAAGTCAGTGGCCTTTTACAAGACAAAAGAGGGGCCTCAGCACCTGGTTTTGGCAGAGACTCTCAATTGGCATCCTCACACTCTAAGAAATGATGCTCTGTTTGGATAAGCAGCTCTAAATTGCAATTCACCTTCTGCCATCTGGGCTGCAGCCCACTGCTGCTCCTGTAACAGTTTCCAGAGGTACTTACACTCCTCGCTCTCCACTCCTGCATAGTTGCCAACTTCTTTGAAGCTGATGTTTCCCAAATGCAATATTCCTGCCACTATCTGCAGTACCAATGCCTGCTCCTCTGCAAAGATCCCAATCACACTCATTGCATGCTGGGAAGAAAAACAAATAAATTTGCATCAGTCAAAGATTCTTGTCTTAGTTATTTTTTAATTTTGGTGTTAAAAAGTAGAGTTATTCAAAGCAGTTCAGATTCCTAAGGCAACCAAATTTCATTAAAGCTGCAATGAAGTTTCAAAGGGTACCAGATGTCCTACTTCAGCATTTCTGTATTTTTTCAGATTAAATACAGAAGCATCTACACCTTATAGAAGATGTATTAACAAAGTAAGTTCTGGAAAAAATAAACATCTGCTTTTAAGTGTCACACTAAAAATATATAGCTTCATTGCAAACTGGGAAACAATGAAACTGAGAGACAATAATTTTATTCCTTCTACACAGTCAGTTTACCCACCAAGACTAAGAACTGTGAAGCTGTACTGAATGACTCTAAAAAGCAGCCCAGTGTCTGGCTTAGGCTGTGAATTTCAGCCACTTACTAGAAAATCCCCAGCATCCCCGGCTTTTGGAGTTCAGAGTACATGAAAACTTACAGAATTGTGTTTGCTCAACAAACTGTTTTTCTAAAATACCAAATAAGGTCCAATACAACAGTAACAATTATTTTTTTAGGCCTTTGTATGTGCTACATACATAGATGTGTTAATACACCTACTTTAAATAGTAAATTCCCAAGAACAGGACACCAGCAGTTGGCAGGTCACACAATGAACTGGCAGCAGCACTGGATAAAGATCCCTGATCTGTGCTTTCACACTCCCTTTCTCCAGCTTTTCAGCTGTACTGTTTTAAATTAGCATGGAAGGTCAGCCAGCACTGGGAATTCAGCTAAAGCAGGGCACTCTTTTATAATTTTCTTCTAATATAAACTCCTCGCTGTGTTTGCATTTTCACATTTTTCATACTACAGGTTATCTGTACAAGCTAAATTTCATTAAATTTGCACCCTTCCAAAAAAGAACAAACTGAAAATCACAACACCTTTCTGCAAAACCTGTCTTCAGGGTTAACATACTCCTCCTCAGGGCAAAATACAACTAGAATAAGTTATATTTACATTAACTTTTCATTCTCACATTAATAGGTCAATGTCTTTGCTAAAAATGAATGGTGAAATGAACATACATCCACCACTAAGTAAATCATGTGGTTAAGAACTCACCAGTGTTTCTTGAAAATCTGATTTGTCATTGATGTCATCGACCTTGTAGGACCCAGAGAGACTCAGATAGTAATAGTAGTCCATACTGGTAATTCCAAGGCTGCTTTTTTGTTCTGAGGAGGCCCCTTCAATTAGCTGCAGAATAAAAACCCCCAAATTAGGCGTCACCCAACAATCTCCAGCAGAGACCAGTTGGTCAGAAACAGGTGACTGAGCCTGAAATTACTGGGAGAGATATGGCTGGTGCTGTGCCAGGGATGTATCCTTCCTACCTTCTGGTAATTGCTTAATCCAAAGGACCAGGCTCTCAATCCCATTCCCACAAATGGTTTAGTTCTAACTTCACAACTAATAAATAGCTAAAAATGTGATTGCCTTGAATGCCTTCCATTATCTTTAACTCATTAAGAAAAGACCAAGTGGGTTTTCCAATCTACAGTGTATTCCCTAAATCCTCAGGAGCAGTGTGTTTTCCACACCTACTGCAAGGCAGGCAGAGTTGACAGCACATTCAGAAAGCATCAGCTGTGGCTCTCATGGTGAGGACAAGCACCCTTAATGCTACTCAGACCTGTGGCAAAGGCCATGCAGTCTGCACAGAAAGGGCTGCACCAGGAAGGAACAAACTTCAAAACAGAACTGTCAAATCCCACTGTCTCTTAACCCTTGTGCCAAAAACCTCTCCAGGCCACAGGAAAAGCAGCAGGACAGGCCAAATTGTACATATACCTCAGAAAAGGAGAACACACAGCTCCTGGAGCAATTCCAGTGCCAATGCAGCTTTCCCTCCTGGCAATGGCATTTCACCTATATGTGAAACTGGCTACAGTCACTTACAAAGCTCTGTCTTGGCCCAAGTTTTGTAGATCTTGGTCAGCAGCACTCCAGCAGGTAAGGACCATGCACATCTAAGACCAGTGAGGGCCAGCAAAGTATTTTCAAACACAAAAAATGGGGATACTTGGATAGTTCAACAAAGAGTTTCATTACAAATATCTCAGAAAAATAAACTGAGAATCAAATTTCTCTTTCACGGGAAGTACAGGCCAATACACATACATATATAAACTGTCTCTCTCTCTGTATATATGGGCCAGTTTAAAAAGAAATCTGCTGAAAAGTTCCCATTTTCTATTATATTCTCCTAGACTTTTCCATATGGGAGTTCACAATGAATTTCCAAGCCAGGGTTTGAAATACTGCAGTACTCTGTTCTGGAGCTGAAAGGCAGGTCTATGGCAGATGGTGTCTCACCATGCTGCTGAGTTTCCCAGCAGAGACTAGGTTACCTTTGCAGTGTGCATTCAAATCTCACTGCTTTGGGAACAACTTCTCAGTCAAAAGGAGAAACAAGTCCTAGATACTTTACATAACTCAAAAAGGACTTAAACACTTCTGACCTGGTAAAAAATGTGAAAACTCCTCTCTCCAGGATTCCTCATTACAACTCGAGATTTTTCCAGTAGGAAGTTGGATATTTTCCCTCCATCTGGTTCTCCACCTGGGCTAAATTGTATTTCAAAGTATTTCCCCTGCAATAAATAATTCAAGCTGTTAAATGATTAGGAAATGCAAATTCAAAATTGTGCATTTATTATTTATTATTATTATTTATTCCAAGCAATGTTACAAGGATATTTCATGTTTATGGATACCTCAAGGTACAACCTAAGCTTAGATTTCTGAACCATGTCCTTTCTGCATTTATACAGCTTGACATTAACACAACCCATGTTAATGCAAACACAGAGAGGAGATCAGTGGCTTCTCTTCACTGCTGAGACTCTTGCTTAGTATAAAGGAAACTCACACAGCAAGTCAGCTCAGCAGATTTACAACCAACATCACCAAACTGTTCTGCCTGGAAGCAATGAAAAGCCATGACCTCTTGCTTTCAGGGAGACATTAACTGCATTAGCACTCATGTTAGCCAAAGAACACATCTCAAATTTTTAAAGCCTATGTGCTACTTTTTAAAATGGAACCTGTGGTGTGCAATCATTTTATAGTGAGCAGTCATTTTATGAGATTGTCTTGACCCTTCTGGAATGACAGACTGAAGGTAATTCCTGCATACTGCCTGTATAATATTGCTAAAGAGTGCAGCCTTGGTACTTCAAAAGCTGTACCCAAGTACATACTGAGAAAGAAATGCACAACCTGTACAGAATGAAAAAGAAGCCTCTAACATCTACCTTTGTTTAAAACACACTTTATATCTTACTCAGATTTACCTCACCTGCAGTAAATTTATATTATACCCCTGAATACTGTCTCTGTAACAGCACAGAAGGTGGAAGAGTAAAGTCATCTTGAAGGTAGAGGGACTTACAAATCTGCTGGAGTTGTTGTTCCGGACAGTTTTTGCATTCCCAAAGGCCTCTAGTAAAGGGTTGGATTGTAGAATAATATCTTTAACATGCTAAAATTTTAGGAAACAAAAGAAATGCAGATTCAGAAATAGACATTTTTAGAGTTGTCACAGATTTTCTAAAAAAACTCTCCATGACATATAAATTATATATTAAAGAGGCAAGAAATCCTGCATCTGTAAAAAATTCTCTTGATCATATAAGGAACAGAATCCAACAATTTTTCTTCCAGAGCTTTTAATTCCTATTTTTGAGGAAAATCCTAAAGAATTAAACAAAGTGTCTGAGGCTAAAACTGGTTCTTCTGAGCATTGTTCTGCCAAGCAACACAGCTGATAAGTTCATCTGGTTTTTCCATCATCTTCATTTTAAATCATGCTCACACATGACCATTTAAATTTCTGGGGGGATCTGGAACCACAACCAATGAAGTCAAGAGTAGGATGAAATTTAGGAATCTGCAAGTGCTTCAGCAATCTGTTTTGGGATCACTGATAATGTTATCCAGTTGTCTTAGAATACAAAGTAATGTCTACTGTCTCTTTATCTACTCCTAGGAGCTCAAAACATGAAGACATCAGCTTTGGAAGAAATCAAATGCATGCTGGGTTGTGAAAAGAAGATGGAATTTTATTTCAAAATAAATGCTCAAGGCAACCTACCAACCTCATCAACTCTAACTCTGTAATTACTAAGAGTATTCATTGATTTTGTACAAAAAGCTGGAATCTTCTAAACAAAACAAGATATTTACTTCTAAAGTATCATTATATTTATTGCAAAAATAACACAATGCAGTCTCTCTCTGGATCAGTCACTTTGGTTACTGAGTTATTCTCTGCAATGGTCCCTGTGTCACTGTTGCACAAAACTACCCAGAAAGAACACACTCAACATCAGAGACTGCAATAAAGTAAAAATTACAGTAAGCACTCAACAGGAATGGACTGGTAAAAGCAGCCACTACCTACCAGTGCCTGTCAGTGAAGGACTGACACTGTAATGTCATTAAGGGAATTTTCACAGCTATTTCACTTAATTAGCTTTAGTCCTTCAGTAGAACAGACATCACCAGCGTAATTATTAACAAAAGCAACTATTTGTTCTGTCAGGCAGCTTTTACACATCCTAATTTTGCCTAGGTAACCTCATAAAACAAGATTATGCTTTTGCTGTGCCTCTTTGATGTATACACACAAATTAGAAATTTAAAGGAAGCAACAGAAACCCAAAAAGCCAGGTCAGTTTTCAATAAAATGCCAACACAGGAAGAAAAAACCACACATCTACTAAAAGGATTGATTGTTGTTCTTAACGTGGTTCAGAACAATTAAAGTACCTCTTACAGCTTAACTAAAAAGAAAAGCCCAACAAAAAACCAAAACAAAAACCACCCATCTGGCAGATGCAATTCAGCATAAGGGCTACAGCACCTGGGGCAGAGCTGATTGTGGCCCTGTGGCTGTCCCTGCCATGCAGCATCCTGCAGGCGAGCAAAGCTGCCCAGCCCAGGGTGCTCTGCTTTGGGGCCCATGTGATTCTGGCTGCTCACCCCCAAGATACCAAGGTCAAAAGAGCCCCTTATCTGCCAGTGTCTGCCCCAACAGCCACTGTCATTCCACCTCTCAAGTGGGTCCTAACCCGAAGCTTATGCTTCAATATTACTGTGTATCAACTCACCTGTACTTTAGGACCACCTCCTGAAATTTTGGAGATATAACTCATGATATATTTAGCAGCTACAGTCTTTCCAGCACCACTTTCACCACTATAGAAAAAGAAACACAAAAATGTACACATCAGTTTTTAACTAACTCTGCAGTGGGGTAATTTCTAGTTCATCCTGTCCAACCAAGGTGAGGTACCTTAATTACATACACCACATTCAGACTGAGTAACCTGGTAATACAGAGTGTGTTACAGTGTGGTAGTGTTGTACTGGGATGTTTTTGAGTACAGAACTCTGACTATACCACCTTGCACAGACACCAGAACCTCTGTGAGATGCCAAGGTCAGAAAAGTATGTACACTGAGAAACATCTACTTAAACCAAGATGCTCAAAAGAGAATTTGTGTATTAAGGACTCAGTTTCTATCTACATTAAGGTGGATTTCAGGTATTGACACAAAAGCTAATTTGAAAATCTGAGCTGTGCATGCCATACCAGATACCTACTTCATTTTAGTAGTTTTTTGTTTTAGGTGTTCCTGAATAAAATAATGAGGCATTATTAATCACATCCTGAATGACGGAAGAACTACCTTCCTGTTCCTATGCCTCTTGACACAGGGTACAAGAAGTCTTAATATCCCATACTAGCTCTCACAATTCCTTCCTTCCTTTATAATATTTCACTGCAATGGTGAATGGTGTTTACAATATCAGCAGCTTTGCCTTCTTGCAATCAGTAAGTTTCTCAAGAGGGAAAGACTGCCATGGCTGACAATTCAACCTCCCTTCACTTCATCCCTTTAAAGCTTCTTCCCTTCATTTCAATGGGATTCCTCCAGACTCCATAAACCTTGGTGCAAGTCAGCTCTTAATGCATTTCTCATGACCTGGACAACTACACCAAAGCAAAAAGAACAACACACAGATGTTGGTTCAATGCCACAAAAAGAGCTAAAATAGTTTTTGCTTTTGTGAAAATGTGCTCTATCTTTTAAACTCCTGAATAATTTCAGTGACTGTTGTTGACTCTTCTATCCTGCGCCCACTTGTTCCTGGATATGGATCAAATGCACATCTTTTCCTGCACAAATTTTAGCTACATCTGCCAAAGAAACATCAGCATGTCTTGTACAGGAAAGGGACTTACTGAGAACGAACAACTCAGAGCTCCTTATCAGCATGACTAATAGACACATTTTTAAAGGTTTAATTCTGGAGAAACTCCCCAAAATGCCAAGCTTCAAATGTAATTTTACATCTTTACAGCTTCCAAACAATACAGAAACACTGAAAGGCTCTTGTAAATTATTTTCTCAGAAATGTTTTCATGCCTTTGTCTTCTCCTGACTACAGTTTTACAGATCAAACTGAAATTCTGTAAGAGTGAAAAAGTACTTACTGAGAATCCATCTGTGGAGCACAGACCATGATTATTATTATTATTCTGAGTCACCTTTTCCCAACAATCAAGAAAGCCTTTATTATGCATATCTACTACATTCACAGGGACAGAGTTTGATGAATGGCAAGATGCTTTTAAAAGTTCAAATCATGAATAGTTCAATAATTAAAATAACATTTCTTCAAAATCTGCTGGCAGTAAGTTTGTTCTTCCTGTTGTAAAACCAGACAAACCAACTGAACCTGAATCATACTCTGAGATTACACATTGCAGTTTTCAACTGAGTACAGGGGAGGATTCAGAGCCAAACACTGAATGAATCTGATCAGGTATTATTTATCAGACAGTAAAAATATAACACATTTCTGTAAGATTTTCTTCAATGCATCCACTATCCTTCTTCTCCTTGCACAAATTAAGTGTGGCTTGTTTTCTTACTCCATAGTGTCTGCCATAGAACTGACCTAGAGTAATAAAGCTCTGTTTTATTGTTAGCCTCTGCTTTAGTATAAGTGATACTTTCTAGCAAATTAATTTGCCCAAAAGATTGCCTTCCAGAGTTAGCTTTAGATTGATTCACACATACACTGTTTTTCAGGTTTAGGTTTTTATTGATCAAAGACCAGCAAATTGCTCCAATTAAGCCAGAATAAAACAAGAAGATGCATTATTTATGAACCAAAGTAGCTTTATCTGATGGGATGGTATCCTGCCCCCAATAAAGCTCAGGTATTCAAATGGAACAGGGAAAACATGGCATTCCTGCCAAATGGTTCTCATGCAGCTGCTTCATATAAATCTTATTGCTCTACTGCTATTAAAACTATTTTAAGAAGATGTAAGAATCATCAAGCTTTGTATCTTGAAGTGGAAGTATGGAGGTTTTTAGAGCTTGAAAAAATTCTTAAAATGGCTTAAAGTGGATTGTGGTATCAACAACTTTCTCAGAGACTTTTCTTGCTAAAAATAAAACTAGCACACAGTCTCAATCACTAACAAAAATTATAATACTTTGAAAGATGTATTATTTCTTCTAGCACTATTCACCACTTCAGAAAAATGGTATTTTCTTCCACGAGGTCTATTAATACTTAGCTGAAATTAGAGTAAGACTACAAAGACAGAAGGAAATGTTTTTGCTCCTTGCTTCCTTCCCAGAGGAAACAATCAGTAATTAGAGAAGCAAGATCCGATACACAGCATCATCCTTCTCTCTAAAATTAATTTTCTGACTGACATTTAATATGGTATCCATGGCTGTAGAACAATACAAGTGATGCTTATCTACATCACCAGGACAATGTAGAAATTTTAATAGCAAATATTTATAAAGAACTCTTGGATCTGTCGGTAGAGAACACTGTATATGTAAAACACTCTGATGTGTTTGGGTAAGTTTTTTAGTTTGTTTACACATAAAATTTACTTTCTGCAATTATGTTCAGAGAAACCTCAGCAGCATGATTTCAGTGAAAGATTTTTCCCCTCAGAATCAGATCTTTAACCTTTCTTACAGTGTTACACTTATGTTTCTATCACTTCTTCATTAAAATTCAGCCATATTTCCAGTCAGGCTCCCTCCAGACACTTTAGAATGATCAATCATTTGAGTCTTCTGGAAAGATGAGATATAGAAGCTGACTAGAAATCTCATAATGAATTTTGAACTTAATAGTTTTAAGATAGACATGAGTTGTTCACTCAAAGAAGTTAGGGTGGTAAATGATCTTTTCATTAACACCTGTTTGTAGTATATACAAGATGTATTGTCTTTTCAGATATGCAGTCATCATACACTTATTTCCTGGACTCAAATGTCACCACACAAATGGCAAATATAAACTAAAACTACAAATGAGAAAAACTGCTTTAAAGCAATGGCAAAATCTCCTGGCAGGGATCACAGAATCAAAGCGAAAATTAAGTCCTCAGCTTTATAGAAAGGTAAAACCTTAACACTATGAAGAAATGCATTTATTGCTACATAATAGAAAAATACTAATCATAACCTCCACTCTCTCAATTAAAGGACAGTAATAGCCCAAAAGGAATTAAAAGCCACAAGAGATAATTCTTCATAATGAAAATCTTGACTGGACAACTCCTTGTTGATAGTTTGGAAAGGCTGCCATGTCACATGGGGGAGAAACGCCAACAGCCTGTTTTAATTGCCACCAATGAGCTTAGTTCAAGAAAGGTCTAAATTAAGTATCATGCCTCAGTAAAACAAACTGAATGAGAAATTAAGTCCAGTGTAGCCATGTTACCCCTGTGAGTGAACTTCCTCTGCACTCCTGCCCATGCACACAGAGCCAGGGAAGACCTGGGGGCACTGCTCCCTCTTCCCACCTAAGCACACCCTGCTCCTGGACTCAGCCCACGAATAACCTCATTGTTTATTTACTCTGCAGCAGCCATGCAAAGCAGCTCAGCTATGATTAGACATGTGCACATGTAATCTCTGTAACGCATATGCAAATATGCTGGAATTATTCAGCTAATGAAAAAGCCTTCCCTGGCCCTGGAAAGGTTGTTTAGTAACAGTTTTTCTCTTAAAATTAGTATTATCATATGAAAAGAGATTATTTTTGGTTGCCACCTATTCAGCCTTTCAGAGAATTTTCTTTTGGATCTGCTTTCCCAGTTCATTCACTGACTTTTGAAGAGGATGAGTTTTTTCTGTCAGTGTCTAAGTGCATTTGGAATTAATGTGCAGGTAAAAGGTGCTCTGCCTACATTAGGGACCCTCCTTCACCTGCCTGGAAACACACATCTGGTCTGTAGAATGCATGTGCATGTCCCCTCCCAGGTTTGGAGGTAGGTGCCACAGGTGCCCAAAGCACACTGTGGGAGGACACAGCAAGTGTGCAGCTGCCCCTTCCCCACCATCCTTCTGTCTCCATTCCTGAGGCTCCACATGCAACCAAAGCCAGACACAGCCTGTGTGAGCTGGCTGTGAATAGGGCCCATCTACACCTTATTTCTTACCTTATTTCTTTGCAAACCTTTCATTACGTGAAATCTGCTACTTTGAAAAAGTAGGAAAAATCTGAGTAGCTGGTTCTGTTCCTTCTGTTCAGCCAGGGATTTTCAGTGGAGTCATTCCAAATTCAGACAAGAAGCAGAGATGCCAGAAGCACCTCACTATAACCATATTATCACCACTCATCTTCCACAGGACCATTTTTTCCAGCAAAAACTCTGTTTCACTGAACACAAAGCTTCATTTGGAGCTGCTTACGCTCAGCCACTTCTGTGACATTGACAACAGACAGAGCTGTGTCTCAGCTCTTGAGAATCACCAGTTTAGGGACAGAAATGGTAAAGCCCCTGGCAGCTATTATGTGAAACTGGTGGAGTGGTAGCAGACTCAGAACATTCATTTCACTCAAGAGCTGCAGCATCCTGGAAGCTGCCACTGCAGCAATTTCAGCACCTTCTGGTCCACGCAACAAAACAAAGCAAGCAAACTCCAAACGTCAAGAAACTTTTTTCTAAAGCCAGACCTGGCTGCTGGAAATAGTGATGACATTAAATCAGAAAATACAAAATATATCTGAAAGTTGAAATCAAATGTCATCCAAAATATTAAAACAACAACCAAACAATATCGATTTAGTGAGCAGCTGAGTTACTTGATTTATTACAAAAAAAAATAAATTTAAGTGTCCTAAAAAAATCAAAAACCTTCATGAAAACCACTTGTAAATCTAATCCACAGCTTCTACAGCATTTGTAATAAAAATATCAAAGGAAAAATAAATGTGTCTGAAGAAAAAAAGTCTCTGAAATGTCTCTTGCAAATATGACCCTTTTTGTTTCAGTTTTGCAGTAGATTTCAATTAACACTGGAGAAGTTTCACTCAGCACATACAAAATGTACATTCAAATACATCAGCCAGCGTTCAAGAACAAGAATTCTCATGTAAAATTAAAACTCCAAGTTTGTATCTCAGATCTGCATCTCAGCTCTCTCACAATGTGACTCTCTGCATGCCTTGCACCGTGGGGCATAGCACAGGATCAAAAAGTAGGGGTTTATTCACAATCCACAACAGCTCAAAGATTTTCACTGTAAATTTAGCTTCGTGTGAAACATCCCACTCTCTGGGATGTTCCTTTGTGCCAGAAGCAAAATCCCAATTTTACCCATTCCTAACAGGTCTCAATTTGACTACATGTGCCTGGTAAACTCCAGCACAGCAAGAGGCATCAGTTTTCCAAAGAGAAAGACTGAGCTCAGGGAACAACTCAGCCATGCCAGTGACAGGCAGGAGAGCTCTGGGCTTTTTGTTTCTTATGCCCCAGGGGCCCAGGAGCAGGGAGAGCCCCCCCTGGACCCAGCAAACTGTTACCAGCTGCTTGGCCTTCCCAGGTGTGAAATCCCTGCACAGCCCTGGGAAGCTCCAGGTGCTCTGCACAGAACCTCCCCAAGGCCCTGTCAGAAGGAGCAGAGGGTCCCAGCTGCAGCTTCCTGCAGTTCTTCTCCACACATTTTCTTTTATCACACACCACCTATAAAACCCACAGATGAGAACAAAGCGTAACTCTGGTCTCAAAATTCACTTTGGCTGTCACTTAAATAATGCCTGTCATTAAAAAAGTTGAGTAATAATTCTACAGAGAATTCCATCACTTAATAATTAAAATAGATTAATAATGAATACAAAATTAATTTCCCAGTATCTCTCGCCTTTTGTCTCTGAGTGAATCCAAGTAAAATTCCAAAAGGAACAAAAGACCATGATAAATGCAGTCCACGTGGGATTGCTGGATTTAACAGTATCTGGTTGTACAGCTGTTAATCCAGCCCCCTCATGTAGTTATTCAAGCTGTTGTAATTTTGGTCTTGGACAAGAAGCTGGCTGTGTGAGTAAGATTTCTTGTGGTTAATCTATCATCAAGATTTTACTGGAAAATAGAAAGGAGGGTCAGAAAATACTTTGCTATCCCCAAAAAATCCCAAAACATGAATGTAGACAGAAGATTTTTAATGATACAATAAACTTTTCTGCTTCTTCAGGTTAAAATACCATAAGAAGATAAAACAATTTTTACCGATCTTTTTCTTACCTAATAATGACACACTGATTTTCTCTGTCAATAATCATGTTTCTGTACATGCTGTCTGCAAGAGCATAAATATGTGGTGGGTTTTCATACTGTGCCTAGGAGGGGAAATAAAGAATATTTTTTCAAGACAGCATTAAAAAATGCAGGAAGAACAAAATAAATTTATATTTAAATTGGAAAAGTTACTTTCATGGAAAAAATAATTCTGAATAGTTCTTTATTGTGAATTTTCCCCAAGAATTCTTTGGTACATTTAATAGAAACAAACCAAATTCCCTAGACTTCGTTAGTGAACTTCCTCTCAATCATAATTTTCTCCTAGAAATACCCTGTTCTAAAAATGGCTTCTGCTGGAAATGTATTACTTGTCCAAAGGAAACTCACACAATTTAAGCCCATTCCAGCACTGTTCATGTGCTAACAATGCTCTCCCCCAGCAGCACTCAGAGCCTGGTGCCGTGGGGGCCCATTTTCATCCACTGGTCCATCCAAACCCAACAGCTTCCCCAAGTGGACACACCCAACTCAAGCAGGAGTCCCTGATGTTCTTGTGCTGATTCACTCTTCAAGCTGTATTTTCAGAAGTGGCATCTAATTTTAGCACCTCACTTTTTTTATTCTTCTTCTCCAGTTAAGAGAGCTCCGACATCCCAGTCTCCAAATCCACTAATGGCCATTTTATGCATATGACAGCTTAAAAAACTGCCTTTGCAGGAGCAGGGCATGTTAAAGAGAGGTACCTAATATGGATCAGAGCTGATCAATACAAGTATTTTCTTGAAATACTGATCTTACATTGCAGGAATTCAAACTGACAACTCAGTCTATGGCAATGACTATCTGCCAAGTTCTCCCAGGCCAGCACAATGCCAGCAAAACCAGAAACAAACACTTCCAAGTGTTAATCTGTGTAGAATAGTGTTTCCAAGCCCCTGAATACTGCACAGTATTTTAGACTATTTTACTTACTGCGCCTTGGTACATTTCAATTTCCTTTTCCCCAAAATATGGCATTTGCTTGAAAGGGTTCACAGAGATTAACACAGAGCCAATGTACGTCTGCATTCAAGAGAAGTTAAGGTAACCACAGTTTTATTAAGCATCATCTTACTACTGGTGACAAAGAACTTTTCCACTTATTACATAACACTTCAAATAATAGTAAAACCACCACAGCTTGCAACAATTGTTAATAAAAATTAAATTAACAGGCTTACAAGAATATAAACATACCATTCAACTGGAATATTTTCATATTATCTTATTTTAGCACAAGCTAAGTATAGAAACATGTATTAAAGGCCAAAACATGACACACCTTGAATAAAAACACAGAAAGGAAATGGCACATTTGAACTGGTTTTAATCCTTTGTAACTGAAGAGGTCGTATTGTCAGTATTAGAAAATATCAGTTTGACCTTTTGCAGAATACAGTGCAGTGACACATTCTGATCTCACAGGACAGTGCTGAGCAAGCAGAGCCGGATGGAAACGGCCACTGCCAAGCTAAATTAGACAATTACTCAGCTGCATGCACTGGGGGGGTGTTGGGGGAATTGGGCAATTCAGCCTGTGGTGTTATTTTATTAACAGTCCCTCAGAGTCCTCTCCTGCAGACTGCCCTGTACCAAGATGCTCAATTTCAAGCCATTATTAGATTTTTTGCAACATTTTTAATACAGTATTTCATCATTCTGCATTCAGCTGCACATGCTCTGCATTTCAAATACTTCATAAACCTTTAGAACTACAACTGCAGAGTACACATTACACAACAGTAATTCACAGGTATCAATATCATTTTTCAGTGAGCTGGGAGTTAGCAATGAGCCCATACCTATGGGTCCAAAATGCTGTACTGCAGGTTTCATTGACCATCTGGAACTGTTCACAGGCAAACTTGCTATCTAAGCTTTCTGTACAAAGTAGGAAAATTAACAAATCCATCCTGCCAGACTGTCCTATGTAGGAATCTCCTACTGTGATGCCAAGGCACAAAAGGTAACATGTTAGAGAAAAACTATAACTAAATTAACATAATATTAATATATTATTTATATATATATGTATATATTAATATATATGTAATATTAATTTCCAATGCATTCTTCATACATTTTTAATTTATTTCAAAAAGAGTGACAACATCTGGGTCTTGGATATAAAAGATCAATTCCTCATTCTGTCAGTATAAACACTTGAAGTGACAGTTTTCTGTTGGCAAACAATACCAGCATTTTCTGGGATGATTCCGTCATCTCTGTACAATGTAGCACTGAGAAACATTCATTCATGGGTGGACATGCAAACAATTCAAATATTCAAGGGATGATCTTCATCTTTGAATGAAAAGCCTTCACAGAACTGCAAAAGGAGTCTTTCTCCCTACATGAGGGAAGACCAATCCCTCAGTGTGACCACTAATCCTCTCAGAAAACACTCTTATTCCAGCTTCAGCAGAAAGACCATCCCCATGTTAATCTCACTATTTGCATAAAAAAGAAAAAGCAAAAAGCTCTCTCACACAGAGCATTGAAGCCCCTGTGCACACACTGCGAGGACTCCACGGGCCAGTAGCACCCGTGTTACTACAGGAAGGATTCTGCAGCTCGTCTTTGTACTACAGTCTGCCAAATACTGTGCAACTTCATCGTGCTCCTATAAAGCAATTCTAATAATAGTGTGGTACTTCTGTGAGCAGGGGATTCAAACCCATGTTCACACATGTATTAGAAACCTCTGCAGTTCGTGATGGAAACAACTGCAACATGAACTTTCCTCTATCAGTCCTTGCTGAACTGAGCTGCTACGTAGCTCTTGACCATCTAAATATATGGAAACAGCCAGGAGGTCCTATATTTCCTCCCCTTTCTGCTAAAATATGTTAAACTCTTCAGGGAAATTATTCTCCAGATACAACTAGGAAATTTGAAAACCTGGCTAAAACAGAAAGAACAGCGTAACTTTCTAGTCATAATCACTGACTAGAATTTACCAAAATCTCATGCAGTTCATGTTATATTGTGAAAGCTGAAAAAGAAATTCCTTTTCTTAAGGAATTGCTTTCATACTAATTTTTTTTTTAAAACAGCAAGCTTTGGGTACTGAAGTCTGTTCTTCCTGTTAGGTTGCATGTTCAGGTATTTAAATTTTCACATTTTCATTAATCATAGAAAAAAAATTTAAGTGAGAACACAGAAGATTTACAGATGCTGACACATACACCTGTTTCCATCATCCCATGATTCAGAGTATTAACAATTTCAGAGTAAGTTGTAAGTGGGGTTATGTCACAAAAGAAATGTTATTTTGAAAGCATTATAATTTTGGAGGTATAGAAGACAACACATCAGTAAATGTACACACACCTAAAACCTATTAATTCTTGCTCTTAGAAGTAGCATTCCCTAAGGAGGCTTCAGGGAATGTAAAAACATGGAAGTACAATCTTCAACATATTAAAAAGAATACCTTAAAATAATTTTTGCTATCTTATTTTCCACTCTCATAATTAGCTGAGTTTTCAAAGCCTTTTCTGTTATCTCAGGTGAAGTGTCACAATGTTTAGCATCCTTGAACAATCTGCTTAAAGAGAATACATACATATAATTAGTGTCACAGTGGCTCAGCAAGGCCACAGGGCCCCACAAAACCAACAAAGGATACAAAAATATAGTCATCCATGTATCGTTTCTTTAGGTTCTCCACTATGGAATCCTCAGTGATTTTGGAAAGCAGGACCATATCATCCACTCCGCTGTGCTTGACATTGTGGCTCTGCCAGTGGTATCTGTAGTGTCCTTTGCTGCCCTGCAGGAAAGCACAATGAACACCACAAGGGTTACTACATTTCTCATCAGCACTAAGTAACCAAAAACAGTTATTCCAATTCCAACTTCCCAAATGTTTTTCTCTGAATTCTATTCCTTGATCCAGGCATTCTATGAAAGCATACATAAATGGTGTCAGCTGACTTGCCTCTGCACTGTTAAAGAATTGCACTGCCCTCCAAAACTAGAAGGTAATTCCATGGGATTTTTGTGACCACCTACACACAGAATGGATTTCAGATGGCAGACATTTTTAAATCTAGTAGAAAAAAACCCCAATTATTCCAATTGAGATACAGCAGCTATTGGAAGCTAAGGATGCAAAAATTACACTCCTACATTGTAACTATTAGCAGTGAGGATAATTACCATCACCACAGTGAATTCCTCAACCTTTACAGTCAAGTCAAAGCTGCACATAAGCTGTTACTGGGAGGGAAGCTGTGAGCCTGCTGCAGTTAAGTATTCAGGGATGTTCTTCAAATTATGTACCCCAACTTGTCGGCTGCACGTCTTCACAGTCCCTCTTGATCTGTTAGTCACCATGCTCAAGTGACATCTAAATAGATACTCTCTCCTCACACTCGGAGACTACTATTTCAGGATGCTACTAGAACATGTGACATTTCATGCTGTACCACTTGAAATCAAAATCTGTTTTTCTTCCAGCTGATCTGAACAGTAGTTTGGTTCCATGGATACACCCACAAACAGATTAAAATTCAGTCAACATCAAGGCTATTAATTCAGCTATAAATCTGCTCTCTAAACCCAAACCTATTTTCTGCAGCCTGGCAGACAATGCTAATGGAGTTCTGATCGCTTCCCTTTTTCTATTTTATTTTTGCTTACACAATACTGAAATTAGTGATGCTGGAATTACCACATTTAACACTGAGAAGTGATCGAGTACGCTGTCAAGGAAGATGTGGCCAACAAAATGCCAATTCTGCAAATTCCCCTTATTCTTTAGTGCTACAGTTTGTAACAGTGTGATTTAACTACACTACTCTGGTGTACCTTATCTGGGATCAAGTAATAGTCACCAGGATACAAGCAATTTATCATTATAAAGTATATGAATTGTTTTATTCTGCAAAAAATTTAAAGATTAAAGAAGAAAATTTAGTTAACTCTGAACACTTCACCTGCATTGGTATTTTGAAATGGGCCATCAGCAACTTACAGAAGGGCAACTTGTGTGTGCACAGTTCTGTAGGAGCAAATGACCCACACAACTTTACCAACACTGAGCGCTACACCAGGCCAACAGCTTGGCTTGATGTCAACTGACACAAAAGATCAACTGGATTTTTACCTCGAGTTAATTTAACTTCCACTAAACCCTGCTACTGCAGACAGCACAGAAGCTGTAGGCTTTATGTGTGTTTTCTCTCTAGCCTCCAGCCACTGCTATCCTTGATGCAGATCCATTACCAGTGGAGAACAGTTGCAAATTTAAATCAAAAGAATGCTTTCAAATATAGTACAGCAAAGCTAAAAATGTCTGAAAACACAATGTCAGCAATTTGCTTGAACATCCACAACTGTACATGACTTTCAGTAAAATAATAACCTTAAACTAGCTTAGCTTGTGTGAATCTTGTCAATTTTCTATCTCTACAATGGAAGTGGTGATCTGGAAGCACTGAGAAAACAAAGAATAGATTTTCTAATTGTCATAAAACATATGACTAAAAATATTTTTTTAAGTTTGACTTTTTGGAGAAAACAGAAGTCCAATGGAGAAGCATAATTTCCTTCACTATATTCATCAGCTATTTGTATTATTACGCTTGGAAAAAGGAACTGGAAGAATAGACAAAAAGATACAGTATCAAAATAAATATGGATAATTAGATTGTTCACAAAGCTGGATTGTTCACAAACCACAAATACAGAATGTGGTTTAGTATCAGATAATGGAGTAAGCTACAGAAAACGTGTAAGAAATGAGACTGAGAAAACAATCAAGCCTCCCTTTGGAAGCCATGGCATCAGACCCAGGGAGCTCAACAAGCACAAAGCTTGCAAAGCCACAGGATACATGGAAAATGTGCACACTGTCTGCAAAACAGCAGCTTTATGCAAGTCACTATGCTGCTGACTGTGATTATGCCACACACAGGACTAGGCCAAAGGGTTCTTCCCCAAAAGCACTGGGAGCCAGCAGGGAAGCAAGAGGGCAGTGCCAGGGCAGCCCAGCTCCCCTGAGAGCAGCTCCTGCCCAGCTCTAATCACAGCAGCAATCAAAGCTGAGAGCCACATGACCACAGACACACTGCAAGTCCTGCAGAGGGGTTTCACAGAAAGGCAGCAGCCTAAATACCCAGTAAAACAGCGGCACGGAAGACAGCTGAGAGCCACTGCACTAAGTAGTTCACATTAAAGTTGTAACTCAATTTAAATGGCAGTTTTGTAGTAGCTTGGAATTACCCTTTTCCTTTCAAAACAGAGCCTTACATTCAAAAGTGCAGAGAAGCAGCAAATCACCACCACATTGGGATCTAGAAATAAGCTGGTAGTGCCTGACCAGCTGTGGTTAAATTTGGTCTCACTCTTCCTACTCCAGGGGGTAACACCAGTGAGATGGCTAGGAGCAGTGGCTACCACCTCTGTGTCTGGGCAACAAAATATGGACTGTTTTGGATAGAGGACACCACCCACTCCCAAGTTCTTGCCCTTCCATGCATGAGCAACGAGTATAGAGTCTGAACTGAATAGAGTCTAACAACTTCAGCCACTTTCAACTGGTACTGTAACCATGTCCAGCTAACAACTAACTGGTTTTTAATAGAGTTGAAATAAAAAAAAAAAATTAAAAATTTTCCTATAATCAATTATCTGGAAAAGACTTCATATCATAGCAATTATAAAAGCAACTCTTCACCTAACTCCAGGCTACATACCAGAGGTCAAAGCTCTATGCTTAAAAATTGCACTAATGATTTGTTCTTATTGCCTATTTCTTGATAATTTAAGCTTTTGGTTTTTTTCTTTTTTAGCCAGAGCTTTCCATCATCCAGATAAAAATGCAGCAGTCTAATCGGGAGACAGTTTACACTTGAACTAGTTACTTGGTGTCCACCTGAACCTGCTTTGCAAGGTGCACTCAGGCTAATTCCCTCAGCTGCTAGCTGTCCTCTGCTGTCCAGCACACAACACACTTCTTCCTCCACCCCTCTCCAGACAGATCATCCAGACACAAGGCCAGGTCTCCTGGCCTGCTTGTGTCCTCCTTTCCCAGAAGGTTCTTCAGAGTCAGCAGCACCAGGGTGGCACAGGGCCAGCAGCACCAGGGTAGCAGAGCTGCCCCACAGCTGATGCTGCACAGCCCCAGCCAGGACCTGACAGAGCTCCCCTGGGACACGGAAGAGCCCGAGGTCCAGCCCTGGGCCAAGCCCTGCAGGTCAGATGTCAGCTACTTGGCTTCTCTTAGCTTTTCTCTGAAGTGTGATCTAACTGTACAATAAATAAGCAAATAAAAGTGTTCATGTCAGCACTAACAATGTCTGAGCAGCTGGAAAAAGATGAGCTTGGCAGATTAAGAAAAATACAAAACAAAACACCAACCCCAAAACAAAAACACATCTCAACAGGCTGCTAAAAGCCACAGAAGTGGAAACACCAGTGCAGAAGAACCTGGCTGCCAGGCCTCCCCCAGGCTCTTCCCGGGCTTCCAACCCAATCATCTGATGTTTCACAGGGAGTGGAAGCTGTACTGGTGAGGCTGCAATTAAAGGCGTGTACTACACTGCTGTCAGCTGCTGGAACTCATTTGGTTGCTGTTTCAGGCTCAAAATCAGATCTGCTCTGCACTGACAAGAATAATATTTACGAGTCACAAGCTGACCCCGTGAGCTCGGGGCCAGCAGGGCCCCTCAGCAGCCTCGGCACCCAGGAACTGCAAAATCCCTTCTGCTCTCTCTCACTGCGTGTCCCTGAACACCCACTCATCAACGATTAACACAACTGCTACAGCAATACCAAGAACGGGATGCAAAATATATTCTATGTACTAAATACTGTCTATGCTTCCTGCACTACTTTTGGTACTGGCAGTACAATATGGTTAAAGCAGATCACTGTTTTGTATGGAATGAGTAAGTATCGGCAAGACATTTATTTACCAGATTTCTTTCTGCTGCCCTCCACCTTGTGTTACAGCAGCCAACTGCTGCTTTCTCATTTTTGCTTTTATTATGGTTTGTATGTTCTTACATTATCCTAAGCAACACGTATTTGATGTAGCTATAAAAAAGATAGAGTCATGCTGTGACACAACATGGGTTTTCTTTCAACTGGAAAAAAAAGCAAATATTTTTGTATATCAAGGTGTTTAAAAATAGAACATCTAAAAATAAAGCACTAAAAACAAGGGATCAGAAGAGACTGTATATTCAGCGCCTGAGAACCTTGTTACTCTTTGTCCATCAGAACTCTTGCTAAACTACAACCACCTACATACCATCAATAATCATTCTTCATTCCCACAGAGGGTAAAGTTGCCACTCTGAATCTCTGACAGCTTTTTTCGGTAACAAACATCCATGTCCCATCACAGTGCAGAAGGGATTATCAGCCTCCACGAGGGAGTAAGAGCATCAAATAATCACGAGCATGACTTTTTCTTCCCCTTTTCAAGTGACACGGTACTACTGCACAAAATCCTTGTAGTTCTGGAGCATGTGCCTACCTCCTCAGCTCAGTATTATGAATACAACAGTAAATGAGACATGTACACATTAGCCAAAGATGTCCCAAAACTGACAAAGCTGCACACCGTTTACTTCAGACCTGACATCAATGCTTCTACCAAAAGAGGCATAT